CGAGCTCATGAGACCAATCAGACAGCGTCAAAAGTGCACCAGTGTTCGTCTCGTTTCTGTACGTGTTCTATCATCGCTGAACCAATAACAGAAAAGGTTCAGTGGCTTGCTTATTTGACGCTGTTTGATTGGTTCATTAGCTCGTGGCGTCAGCTGCGTCTGGACTTTAGGCTCGTTCACACAGACCCGTTTTCTTACATTACGTTACGAAAAGTCACCGGGAAATTTGTGCTTCGTATTAAGCGTGGCTACCAATTCAAGGAGATAGCCTGGCACGCGACATTCGAGACACAAATGTTTCGGTGACAATGAGCTAGGATGGTGAGTTACCGTGGCAACTAAAACACAAGGCTCATCGTAACGTAAGGAGTTGAGCTCGGTTCAACTTTTCACACAGCACCGTTTTCTAATGTTACGTCTAAGTCACCGAAACATTTGTGTCTCGAATGTCGCGTGCCAGGCTATCTCCTTGAATTGGTAGCCACTCTTAATACGAAGCACAGATTTCCCGGTGACTTTTTGTAACGTAAGAAAACTGGTCTGTGTGAACCAGTCTTTAAGGTGAACCGAAGCATAGCGAAAATACTGGCCGACGGAACCACCATCATGATGCCTGTGCCGTGCAGCCCAATGTTCACGTTTTCAGCTATCGTGCATTTCAAGAAAGTGCCGAAGTGGAAAATGCATTGTCACGCTCGTATCTCCTCGAGGAGCGCTGCCTGACGGAGCTGCCTTGGCCCCCCGAAAGAAGCGGATCTGAATATCATCGAACACGTTTGGAGGCGCATCAAGGTAGCCATGTCACAGCGTCCCCTCCACCGCGCCACTGCCGACGAATTGTGGGAAGTGGCGAGAGGTGCGTGGGTGATGCTTCGGGTCGAGGCAGACTTCTTGGCTGCACTCTGTGATTCCTTACCAGACAAAATAAGAGCCGTGGATGCGGCATTAACTTTTTCCGTAAGTTTTATTGCGCCTCAGGACCCCATTGGAACAAAGCTTGCTGCTACGATTGCGACACACTGTTTGACGCCATCAACCAGCACATACCTTTGAGTGGTGCTTCCTTGATCCCAATCTTCTTGTATAGTGCAGTTGAACTTCCGCGCCGACTATTAATTTTTTGTCTGACATTGTCTTCTGCGAATATTCTTTCAATGAACTTTCAAGCTCCTTCTCCTGGCAAATATAGGACTGTTTGTTGCACTTGATTAAGACTAGGAATTTGTAAATAAAACACTGGTGTCTTGTCAGCACTTCTTTTGTTTGAAACAAACATGTGGGCCCAAGGACAAAGAAATAATATTTTTGAACCTTTTCATACCAATCAAGGTTACAAAACCTCCACAGTAATATGTATGGTTACCGTTGTTTATTTTTCACACATCTGTGCTCAAAAAAAAAAAAAAAAAAAGTAAATATCTTGGAGTTGTACTAAATCCTATATACAAATTTTGACCTATATTTTACGATGTCCTACTTTGTGCCTTCGCTTCATAAGAAAAAAAAATAGGTTTTGGGGAGATTTTAAAAAACAATAATCGCAGCTGCAATTGAAGATACTTCAACATTTTTTCTTCACCATTCAGGGTTTTTTTTACGTGATTCTACACGATAGAATGAAGTAAATCAATTGCAAAAAAGAATGACAAGAGCAGTCCCTGCCGCCCTACCAAACACACACCCGCTGTCGCACCCGCCATCTCGCTTCCAGACGGCCGGAAGATTGCAGTGGAGCAGCGAGCGCAAGTGATAATTTATCTTGGCCTCAGGGTGTACCGTGTGTGCGAGCAAGGCAACAGGCGGCGCAGGCTCATTCGCCGGCCAGAGCGCTGTTTCAGCTCATATTGTCCGCGATGGTATATCCTGCATTCATTCGTATATGTTGTCGGGATGTGCCGGTCCTAGGTGTTCAAGTACATCTTGCTCAGTTGTTTTAAGATGACCACACCATGGGGACCATCGGTCACTGAGATCTCCCGATTATCCTACAAAAATTTGTTGGGTATTTGTGTGTTAAAGCAGGGACTTGGAAACTTTATGGTTTCAGGAACTTTATGGTTTCAAGGAATCCTAACCACCTTGAAGGTTATCCCCACTCTTCTCTCCCAAGCTCCCTTCCCCCGGTATCTGTGCAGAGGAGCAGTTTATGTATTCGAGACAAAAACCTGATTCATGCACTGTGCATTACATTTATTTCAGTGTCTAGAGATGCAGTGCTCCCCAATCTTAACGCTGCTGCTTAAAGGAGTCATGAACGCTTTTTTAATTTTTTCCTGTTTAGCTTTCCTCCTCAACTCATAAATCGCGCATTCTACCGAACAGTTCAAGAAGACGGAAAGGGGGGAGTCCCTCTTGCTCGGAATCTCGTTTGTAGCCGGACACAGCCATTGTCCCCCTAGAAGATTAGCCTGTCGCTCAAAATTCAGACAAAAGTTGCTTTCCCCACCCTGTTCACCCTGAAGCTGACAGTGCGGTGGAAGCTACGTACTCGTTGGGCCAGCCACACTTTTGCTGCGTGATCACGCTCTCTCGCGCATACCGACGTGCAGAGAATGAGGTCAGGTGGTGAGAGGGAGGTGGCTGATTGGTCTGGCAACCGCGTAACTTCCACCACAACGTCAGCTTAGGGGTGAAGGGATAAAGTGAGGTCCGGTGCCGTGTGACGTGGCGTTTGGGCCCGATGACGCGCTGCGGGTTCCCGGTGACGCGCTGCGGGGTCCGCGGATGTATCACAGTGAAAAGGCAGAGAGCTTACGAAGGGAAGGAGGTACGAAATAGTCCGCTGTGTTGTCAAAATTTTAGTACCGAAAGTCAGGCTTTTGACTTTCTACCTTTTTTTTTTTTGGCCCACTGAACGATGTGCTATTAGTAAGATCCCAATATAAATTGATTTACTCCAGCCCAAAATTCGTTTCATGGGCCCTTTAAGCGCCAGGCTTTGGCGGAAGTCTGCTGTGGTGCCCATTGTTTTTAACTGCTAGTTGCATACTGGTGTGGGCAAGGTTGTTGTGGGGTTGCACAGGCTCGCTTCAGACACAGCAATTTTTCCCAGTGTTCTGACGTTGCAACACCCCCCCCCCCCGGCGCCCCCACCGGATTACACGCAATAAACCTTTTAAACCATAGTTCAAGGCGCTAAAAAGCCGAACACGAGAAAGAAGCGCCCGTGTTTGCCTTCTCTTGTGTTCGTCTTTTTAACACTTTTAACCATGGTTCAAAACTCCTTTGACACAGTTACGCATTAGTAAAATGTTTTTATATCCAAATGGTGCTGACTATCCTAATTGGTCTCACTGAAACATTATGCATACCTTTTCTTTTACGATCTTGCATTTGGATTATTGAACCGTATTGTTCAGTTTGTTTGTACTGCAGATTATTCTCACTTGTTTCTGTATTTTTTTTTCTTTTTCTTTTGGGGGAAGCGCTGAGTGATTAGTTAAAGGGACCCTGCAAGGACTTTTTTACTGGTTTTTAATTTGCACCAAACCTGAGCACAACTTAGTGAAACTTTTCTTTTCTCGAAATTCCCTTTATTTTAAAAGTTATAGGCAAATTAAAATTACAAAAACAAGCAAAAAATAACCTCCCTCATGACGTCGTAGGTCCTGGCTTGAGTGGCCGTGAACTAGAGGAGGGGTAGTGAGCTCATTGAGTGCTCATAACTGCCGCACTCCGTGTCGACGGCGCGAGAGGGCGCCACTAAAGCTTGTTCTGGATAGGCTGTATGCAGCGGGCAGCCAGGGTGGCTCGCATTGCATTTGCTGCGCGATTCAATACTAATTCGGCATGACACTTCATTGGCCACAAACGACAGCAAACATGGGGTAAAGATCAGTTCAGAATGGGAGCCACTTTGCGCTGCCATACCGCGAAACAGCCAAACCGCAAGACAAAGCTTCTTGCTGAAGGCCTTCGGAACGCTCGGAGCCGGTCGGATCCTCCTGTCCATACGACTGCAGCGCTGCCGTGTACATCCGGGACCTTTCCGTGTCGGCGCCTGATCCCACTACTCCTTTCTAGTATGCGCCGCCTCTTCCATCGCTTGGTGGCGGGTATGTCGACGGGTCATTTCTTGTTTCCGTACTTTAGAACTGCATTCGTTTCTTTTCTGATCTAAAATACTGAACAAAGACTACTTTTATACATAATTGAAACGGTTCACACCACTTATATTTTGTATTTAGACTAAAAAGAAGCTTTTAGCAGCTCTGACCAGTAGTAAGCCCAGGACCAAAGACGTCATTTTGTGCGCTTTCGTTACCGCGGGTCGCCCTCGTCGGTGAAGGAGGTTTCTGCGTTGCCCGGTTAAAATGGGACGCACCGATAATTAGTTACTCTCTCCGTACCCGCTGGCTTGTCCGAACCCCATAGACGTGGAAACTGCAAAAAAGGTAGACGCTTAAATATGATTGCAGGGCCCCTTTAAGCATGTGTACTTCACTTGAACTTTCCTGTCGCACCACTACTGCGAAATGTATTGGGGTAGAGAGCTCATGGAGCCGTTAAGTGCGACTTTTTTTTGAGTACCCTCCATTTACTTGGAATGGGAATAAATCCTGTTATTATTATATTATTAATATCTTGTTACAGTCGCTTGTAAAGGAGAAGTTTCAAGCATTTGAGCACTGTGTGATCGTTTGGGTGGCCCTGCTGCGAAATCTACGCACGCAAAGGTTACCTTGCCAAAACTGATTGCCGGACTTTTACACACTTGACCATCTGTAATTTTAGAATTATAGGCATTTCAGAGCATGCAGCAGGTACATTCATGGTACTTTACGTCACAAGGTGGACAGTTGAAACGATAGTCGCTAGGATAGCACCTCTCCGCCAAAGTCTTGTGCTGGTGCAGCACACTTTATGTGGGGGAGCACTATAACTCGGTTGTACCCAGCCAATGTTCTTGCAGGTGTGTTGGACATGCACAGTCAACTTCAGGGCATGTTGGGTATGATTTTTTTTGCATGACTTCCACTTGACTATGACTGCTTTGTTAGGAAATTCAGAAGTTCCCCTGCAAATCACACCCTACAAACAGCAAGATGATGGTTGCGGTGTTGTAACGTCTCCACGTTGAGTCAGTAACATAGGTGAGCATCCTGTATGCTTAACTGGCTGAGTTTTGCTAGCCCTTGTCTAATTGCGAAAAGAATAGTATAGTGTCAGAGAACATGCATAGTAAGGTACTGTCTTAACGTTGTGAATAAAGCAGACATGTACACGTTACTGGAAAAAAAGTAACCGATTACAATTACTTTACTGTAAAAAGTAACCAATTACAATTACAGCTTCAAAAAAGTAATCGAAAAATTACTTTAAAGTAATCGATTACTTCCCACATTACTTTTCATTCAACTTGTTTTATTACGGTAGCATTGGGGTTTTGTGCTCTGTTGTTCCGAAAAAAAAAAAAAAAAAAAGACTTCACAGTTTTTGCTTGGAGCTGAGTGAGTGACGCTTACACACCCACTCCCTCTCATGAAAAAATAATAAAACGAGTGCTATTTATATACATTACTCACAAAAGGCTGGATAATGTTATTTTTCATACCGAAAGGTAATCTCCGGTATACCAAAACAAAGCAAAAAAAAAAAAACAAAAAAAAAAAATCCGCAGGAAACTAGGCATAGTGAAGTAGCCTACTAATCTTTGAGGTCCCGTGCTTAATAGTTTTGAAAAAGTAAAAAAAAATGACCGTTGCTTGGAGCTGAGTGACTCCAGCACATCTTCCCCCCCCCCCGAAAAAAAAAAAAAAAAAAGAAATAGAGAAAAATTGTAATGGGTAATTTTGCAATCGATTACAGCAAAAAAGTAATTCAATTACTAGGATCGTTACTCCTTAAAGGCGGGCGCTCAAAATTTTCTTCAGCGTGGCAGAAGATTCCCTCTCTTTTCTTTTTTTTTCCTCCTCCCCTTTCCTCCTCCATTTTCCTCCTCGCTTTTTACGGCCTTCTCGCACGAGTGCTAATGGGCTTACCGGCCCCCCGACAAAATCTCCGTAACCCTTCAAGGTTCTCTGCTTCAATCCCAAACACCAGGGATTAGTTAGGCAGGCTGGATATGAGCTCGGAAGGGTTCGGGCTGGCTCGCTTTTCTTGCTTTTTTTTTTTTTCTTTTTGCTCTTTTTCTGCAGTTCTAAAAAAAACACTCAGATAGTCAACACCAACTAGCCCAACAACAAGTTCTTTTACATTCAGATACCTCCGCATGCGGCCACACACGACACAACACCGCATATTTATCTCGAGTGAACGGAACTTGAACATCACAGCAGAAGGAAAAAAGATGGGTATTTTTATCCGAACTTTGAGCTCTACCCAGAGAGTTGAAAATTTGTCGTTCTAACAACGGCACACTGAAGATTGATTTTATCACTATTGTGTTTTTGTTTTGTTTTTTGTACAAACTAATAATCATGAGTAATTACAAGTCAAAGATATTGCAGTCAGAGGGACACAGTCTGACCATTTCTGGGGCATAATATATAGGTTCGTACTACAGGTGTTTTCTAGAGTGACGGCCGCCTCGTTGAAGCTACTAAGAAGAGTAAAAACAAATTTCCATAAAAACTGAAACGGTTTATGGTATATTTCATCTATCTTCAGCGTTTGAAAAAAATTTCTTCGTGGCCAAACGTGCATTTAGTTTCTCTCAACAAATGTAATTGAAAACTTGACACCCAACAAATATCTTGCGTATCAGCAAAGAGAACGGGAAACACGGAGATTGAACCGAAAAATCACAATTTTCTTCGCGTAAAATAGTGCAACTAGCAATAGTAGCATATTATGCCATTTATTAAAAGACAGCAGGTATTACGAAGTTTTCATTCTCTTCTGTTCGCATTTGTTCGCTGGTGAAGAAATGGAATGCCCAGATAGCCTCTGCAGCCCTTACATAATTGTTTGGGGCTTTGTCAGGGTGGGCGAAGGCCATCTCCAAAAAAAACCAGGAGTTCGGAAGGTGTGCTACCGCAAGTTTTGGGGCTGCTTGGCTGATTTAGGCGTCTGGCGTTCCCCGCCTACTTAGAAAAGAAGCGGAACAGCGGTCAGTTCAACGTCGTCACCAAGCGGGAAATCATGCCGAAATGTGTCCTTGAACACGTGCGAGATCTTTACCCGAACCCAGCCGGGATTCGGCACAATTCATCTACGAAAAAACTATAAAAAGGGGTAGGCTTAAACGATTTGGCGGTTTTTTAATATAGTCATGCGGACTAACTGTCCACAAGTACGGAAAGAAATGCGGTAGAAATGCAGAGCTCTATTGTGTTCTTTATATCCATACTTGTCTTTCGCGCTGTACGCCAATTAAAATGAATTCTGCAATATCTGTAGATTATGCCTGGTTATGTTGTCTTTAAAAGAAAAGTAATCAAGCAAGTTCGGTATCGTGCCACCAATTTGTGCATATACAATTTTATGTGGAATTCAAGATATGAACTACCGATCTCGGCTTCAGAACTTTTGGGTCCACAAAAAATCACGCTCAGTACAAAATTCGCCTTTTCTACCAAAAGTACTGGAAATTATTTATTTTTCAAACAGGTCGGGTGGTGATTCGTGTTTGAGTGTAGGACCGTTGACTGGGCACTGGTTTGCGCCAAGAGTGCAGTGCTTCCTTTCATGATGCCCGCGACGAGTGTTGAAATTTGAATATGGTAGAAATAAAATCAACTGACACCCTTAGAATTATTTTAAACTTGCACTTTCTTCAGGCATTAAGATTTTGATCGTACCTTTTATTCATTGTGGTCTTCGATGAGGGAACAACTTGCCGAGGAGGCCGCGCTGTCCGCGTACGCGGCTTGACAGATAAGGTCGCGAATACTTTTCACGAATCTTTAAAGACCAAGCATAAAAATGAAAGACGCAGCCACTTTACGCCAATGAAACAAACTTTATGTTTTGGGCAGACGTCTTGCGAGAGTTGCAGTATTTTAATTATGCCTAATAAATTAAATGTTTAGGACTAAGTACCAAACTTTTTTAGATGTATTAAGAACCAAAATGTCAATTGGAACGTTCTAGAGCTGCTTGAGAAACACCCGATTAGCTGTTTGCAACGTGATACAGCTCCCGTGGCTTCCTTCTGACTAGTAATAAAGCTTATGAAACATAACAAAATACCCCGCGATAAAGCGCCCGCCTCATCATAAACTCAATTTTGAATGTCCCGGGATTTGTTTTTATAGGCCGAAAAAAAAAAAAAAGAGATGCATGCAAGACGCGTGCCCCACGCTTTATTTATATCAGAAAAGAACTGCCCTCTGCTTTATATACAACGTGTTTTTTTTTTTTTTCGCCTATTAGATATTAGAAAAAACGTGGAAATTAACGTTTTGTGGATGTGAGCTATACGGCCAGGCGAAGATTGGGTTCAAGAAAGAACGCAACAAAAACCGACTGATTACCTAACATTTGTTAATGAACTTTTTGATTATAAAAGAAAACGGGATAGTTGATTTATAAAATTGTTGGGCGTAATCGAAAGCCACCAAATGGTCCAGTGAAAATTAGCGCCATTGCGGTTTGTGTAGGTGAGCTATACGGCTAGGCGAGGATTAGGTTCAATAATGAAAGCAACTAAAACCGACCGATTGCCTAAAATTCGCTAATTAACCTTTAAATTAGAAAAGACAACGGCATCTTGTATTTAGAAAGTTGTTGGCCATAATATAAGCCACCAAACCGTCCATTCTTAAAAAGATGTAACGCGCGTACACTATTATACGGCGTCCTCTTAATTTAAGCGCGAAAATATAGTTCTGATTTTATGTGGGCTCCATCTCCGCGTGGCACAGCCTAACGCCATGAAGCCAAAGCGACAAATCATGCGCATCGCTGTGACAACGCCACCGTAGAAGGGGCGAGGAGTGCGGTGGCCGAAAAGATTGCGGTAACACGATTCGCGTCCAAATTAGGCTTTTTAGGACGCCGTGAGCCACTTCACGTCCACTACATCTCTTTAAAAATGAATGATTTGTTGTTTTTGATGACTACAGATAAGGCACAAACCGCAATTGCGTTACTCTGACGTCTTTTTTAGAAAAATGTCTAGTCGTTAAAAAAAATCGCCCTGTATAAGCACGATTGTAAGGCAGTTCTTTACGTCCGGCGACAGCATTACGGCATGGAAGGAGACGTTGACCACAGATCATACATACTCTGTGTATGATCTGTGGTCACTGTTTTTTTTTTTCGTGCAAGAATGAGCAAACATTTGATACCAAATAAAATAGATTTAGCATTCACCAAGTTCGGCTTGTTTACTGGATTCAAATCGATATTTGATTTGATTACACTTATTTTGTACCCGCACACGCCTACTTTATTCCCTAATGAGTTACAAGTGATAATTACTTTTTTTTTTTTGTCGTGCGAGGTCATCACAATTTATTATTAACAATCGGAGCTATGCGATTACGCGCAGGAGGCGCATTCGAAGATATTCAAAATTCTTCTGAATACACAAACAACTTCAAACGTCTTGCTGTTTGGGTCGTTTCCTACACGCAGGACCAATAATAAAGCCAAAACCTTATAGAGGAGACTATCTCTATCAACTCAACGCACAAACACGATGTAAAGCGTGTCTGCGTACGTTGGAAAAGAGATACCGGCGAGGGCAAACCATAGCGTCGAATGTCCATGCATCAAAAAGTCCGTGCACCGAAAAGTCTTTGCAGCAAAAACTCCGTACACTGAAATGTCTGTGCACCAAAAAGTCCGCACCGAAATGCCCTACAGCAAAACGCTCTACACCGAAAAGTAATAGACCCACTACGGATGGGATCCTCCGTCACCTCTGCCGGTTTACGAACCATGATGATTCAGAACCACTGGTCTATGGAGCGCCATCCCTGATATACAGAAAACGGCGCTTGTACTTCCCGTTGTCGCCATGAATCCGCCTAAACAACGAAAGATGCCAAATCAGATATTTATATTAAAATTTATACTTCAATGACTACTTCTTTGAGCAGAACAAGGCATTTGTGCTCTCACAACAGCAAAGAATCGTCTTCCAAACCAATTCTAAAAAAGAGCCAATGCAACTCGTTGGGAAGAGCAAGTGCCAAGCTCGCTCAAAACAGCTACTCGGTTGATTCAGCTCCTTGTCGCAGGTGTGCCGGCTGGCTTCTGGATAATCTTTTCAAATCCTTGAAGCTTTAATTTCCTCCACCCCAAACTTGTAAAAAGAAAAAAAAAAAAATCAGGCAGCTGGGAAAAAAAAAAAAAAAGGAAAATGGCGAGGAGGAAACGAGAGGCAATTTCCTCCTTTCACAGTGGCGAGAAGGAAAGTGAGGGTCGGGTTCCTTCTCTCTGCTTGCGGGCCGGCCTTTAAAGAAAGTACTTGAAGCATTACAAAATTACAGTAAGATGTAATCGATTACATGTAATCCATTACTTGTAACGCGTTACAAGTGTGGAATAAAGTGGGGAGAGACGCAATGGGAAGCATGGTTTGAGCTGCGTCGGATGTTTACAGGTTTGTCTGAGCTCAGGAGTCTAGCCAAATTCTGCTAAATGTAGCAGAAGTTGGCATGACAGTTCAGGTTCCCCATTAAATTTAGTGAGGAAGCGGAATGTACACCGATTCAGTTTACTTGCCAAATTTAGCAGGGAGTAAGTTCGCTAAATTTAGCATGTTACACTTTCGCGTTACAATTTTTGGGGACATTTGATTAAATCCTAGCCCAAGCACATTTCGTGTGAAAAATTTCTGCACCTGTATAGAAGTAATCAACCAGTTATTGCTTGTAGCGGTCCCTACGGGCCGGTTAGGTTATGTTAGGTTGGCGCCCCTATGGAAATTGATGACATACATCCAACACGGTTCTAAACTCCATTTCATGCTTGGTGTGCAATGCTGTCAAAACTAGTTGTGCGAGCATGCATTTCCATTTAGAGGCACTCATACAAAAATATGTGCAAATGAGACCCTAGGTAAAATCACATGCTCTTTCCAATAGCGTTGAGAGGATTGTTTGCTATGTATAAAATGGGGTATGCACTCTGGCCTCATTCAAAGTGCAAATCAGTGTGAAACGTAGAGTTGTGTGACTTAAAGCTGCACTGCAATGCACATTGCAGTCATGCTTAAAGGAGCTGTGCAACGATATTCAGTTGGAATGTTTTCCACTATACACGAGCTTACTCGCACTAGTGGAAGTCAAGGATACTCGCATGCAACTCCGCTGGCCAAGAAACTCCTTTGTTGCGGTGTAATTTCAAGGACAAAAGCTATCATTTTCATTCAAACTCTCCTTTGCGAAATTTCATGACGTAACTTGGGGATCGCAGTACACCCATGTGACGATATTTGAATGCTGTTCATAGATTGGACCCGAGAATTGCGTGGGCACTCGATTTGGGCTCGTGATAATTACTAGCTCGAGAAGCATTCGGGTAGTGGCCCATGTCCAATCGCTGCAACGACGACAATAGCCGAGCCATAACAATATCTGGAGCTCAGCGCATGCCCTGTGCTGAGCTGATAACTTTGCAAAACAAAACTATTTTGTCCTAATATTTGGGTTACTAGTTAAGCTAAGTTTGTTGGTGTGTTTGGTCAATTTTTTAGGCAAATCTGTGACCAAGGAGACTCCAGAGTGCCGCTTTAATTAAGTGCACCTGATTTCATGAAGAACATCTGTGTGACGCAACTCTCATGATCCACTTATGGCCACAACACAATTTTGAAGCGACGTGACCAGTCTATTGTAGTTCGTCAGGTCAGCATTATCTAAGGAAAAAACAGTTGAGGTGGGTGGGGCATGAAAATACTCAGCTATATGCACCTTGTTTTCTTATTGCTTAGGATGGGGCGGAAGGATGCAGCCATGCAGGACACCGAGAAAAGGCACTTCAGCAATGTCAAGTATCACCGTATACAACGCACGGACGATGGCTTCATCGATATTCAGGTTCGACCTGGTACCACTGTTGTGTCGTTCGATCGGGAAACTCTTGGACAATGCCTTGAACCTCGCCATTCCAGTTTCAGAAGACGTTGACCCGGATACCAAAGAAGGCCATAGCGCTGGCAACATTTCTATTTGTCATGGGCTCTACATTGATTGTTATGTCATCGTTCATCTTCACGGGCTTCATCGACGACAAGGTGGGTACAGACAAACGACCAGTGTTACTCGATTTTGGCGCCTGGGATACATGGTAGCATCGCAGGTGCAAAGTTTATTGAGTAAAACTAGCACTTGTGTTGCATACATGGTTCAGAACTAGCGCTTCTATACACGGCACACGCATGCGACTGTAAATTCCGACACTGAGGCTGCTGACGCTTGTGTGTGTTTCTTTACAGTACTACGACAGCAGATGGCCACTTCTTGTTCTGGGATCCTTGATGTTTATTCCAGGGGTCTACCATGTCCGAATTGCTTATTACGCTTACAAGAAGTACCCAGGGTACACGTACGATGATATTCCAGATTTTGATTAGGTGCTTTCTGCTCTGTGGATGCACAGTTTGTTTGTGTTTGCACTCAGCTGTGTTGATGTGCAATCGAAGCGATGCGTGTGTGAATTGTTGCGATATCTAGACTTTATGTACAGCTCTGTAGTCTGCCAAAGCACAGTATAAGAACATTGGGCTGCACTTTACTGAAATGAGTGTCACAAAAAAATGCTTTTTGTACGTGGGATGTAAAATACGAGCGTGGCAATAAAAGCTATGTATATAATGTATTCACGCACACATAATGCTTGGTTGTAGGAAACTGGTGCACAAACAAATGGAAAACTGCTCGTACACGTCTCCCATGCAACATTTGGACGAGGCAGCTACAACTTGCGGGGTGATTAGACATTCTCGGCAAACTGGCACACAACTCTTAGTGTCCGGAGCATTGCAGCAACCCTATTTGCTCACGCTCCAGTTTCTAGGAAAAAAGTAAAGGGGAGAGTCGCACTGCTCGGCTTTCTTTTTTTTTTTGGCTTCACCCGTCCGCACCACGGCCGGGGTGGCGACCACGGTCAACCTCATTGGTTGAGGAAATCAATGTCCGCCTTTACACACTTCTGTGTGGCGATGTCCAGGGCGCTCACTTTGATCTCGGTCTCGCCGAAGACCATACGCGCCTGAATTTCACGCCGCAGCGGCACATTGGGCAAATAGCGGGTGTCCGACAAGTCTAGGATGAGGGTTCCGCACTTAAACACACCAGGGTCCGTGATGAACTGCACATCGTCGCGCTCGCTGCAGTACACGTGGATGATGCTGCACGTCTGGCCCGCCTTGGCCGGTGTGTAGCTGCGTACCACGGCGTCGCCATGACCGACCGACTGATCGGCGAGCACAAACTTGTCGAGCACGTCGGCGCACCATTCGATGCCGTCCTTGACCACCAGTTTGGACGGAGGATGGGCGCCGTGCACAAAGCGGTTGAGCACCCCGACGCCGTATGTCATGCGCGAGCGTCTCACATTGACGACCATGGGGTCGAGCCCGAAGAGAACGGCGCCCCGCAAGATGGCCAGGCTGACGCCCTGCGGGATGATGACGCGCACTTGGGACGAGAAGGCGTCGCGCAGCTCCTTCTGCAGGAGTTGCGACTCGGCAAAGCCGCCCACTAGGAACAGGTAGTGGATAGCACCCAGGCGTGGGTTGCCAAGTACGGACGAGATGTGCTGCTTGATGCTGGCCACGGTGGGGCGGAAGAGGTCGAGCATGGCCGCGGGCTCTAGCCGCAGCATGCCCTGTGATGACCATTTGACGTTGCGATGGCCGTGCTTCTTGATTGCACTCTCCACCTGCGTCGAGCGAGGTAGTTAAAACGTTTTCCGGATGAAATCGCATCGCAAAAGGAGAATGCTGCTACTGGCAACTTTTGACTCTGCCCTGCGCAGTTCTTGGGTGCTACAACAAAAAAACTAAGAGGCTATCCAGGCAAGCTGGTGGCGCCGTATTGCTAACACTTGATGCTACTGAAAATGTGGAACGATAACGGAGGAACGTGGAGCTTTCAGCACAACTCTGTGCTTCATAGACTGTTTGCGTCTCATTCCCCCTTGTCCTCAGTCTCCAACGTAGCAATTTAACGCGGTTATTTATAGGTGTGCAAGACAGCCAAGCTCTTTTTGGCTGAAGTCATTATCACATAAGTGACCCACCTGTAACAAAACACCAGATATCTAGCAAGGTCTAAACTTGCTAGGCTAGTTCAACTTTTGTACTTAAAGGCACACTGACAGGGTATTTATAATCACCAAGGTTATCATTTGTACATGACATATGAGAGCCCAACTACCCTGGAAACAATTTGCGGCTCGAAATTCGTTTTCTTTCCGCCCTAAACCCGCCGATCGAGAACTGGCCGGTTTGAGTTGCGCTCACTCTCTTCTCCGTGGTTGCGTGCAGTTTTCTATGGTTCAGGCACAATCACCAAATATAATCAAAGTCGTGAGTCATCAAAGGCACACACACAATATTAAAAATAGAAAATAAATATGATACCCATTGTTTGTGGCTTCTAAAAAGCTGCAAATATGTTGATTGGAAAAAAAAAAGTTGCACAGCCACGCGACTTCTGCCAACTCTCTCCTCCTCTATATTTCTTCCTCCCCAGTCCAGTTTCGGTTTTGAGCAGTTGTGTTTTTTTACTTTATTAAAAATATATGTGACACTGTAGCAAAATATTGATAGGGTAGTCTTCTGACACCGTAATGAATTGCCTGGCGAAACAGGAAGAAATAAATTTTGGGGGTCTCGGTACAACTCTGGTCGAAAACAAAACCAAAATAAATGACCGGTATCCCTTTAGTGGCACGGAATATGATCCCAGCCAAACTATTACGTCGAAGTGAAGCAATCGTACTCTACTAAAACCGATTTTAAAGATGCGACCGGCTGCTCTTTAGCGGGTCAAGAAGCTTTTAGTTAAGAAGCACTGGCGTAGCACCCTTGTGCCATCGCGTCGAGGTGGAGCCAACGCTACTAGATTACCTCAGTTGTGGAACTCCCGCCGGAAGGGGGTACCCCCCCCCCCCCCCCCTCACTCCTCACTCACTTAAGTCCGCCCAGTGAGTCCACCTTCCGTCGTTCGAAGCGCCATCTAGGTTTTCGTTTACGAACTGTGTTCCATAGAGTATGGTGGAACGCCATCTAGACGCTGCACTTCGAAACGTACGTATCTCCTAGAATACACTGCAGTTACCAAAGCAGCCGTCCGGCACGTCGAACGACGGGAGGCAAGTCGTGGTGTGTGAGGGGGGGAGGGGGGGTACTGCTTGTGCATGCAGCGTCTAGGAGCAGTTCCGTAACACCTAATCTAACAATGTTCGGTGGAGCCAACGTTACTAGAGTACCTCAGTTGTGGAACTTCCGCGGAAGGGAATACCCCCCTCACTCACTAGAGTCTGCCTCCCGTTGTTTGTTTCCTAACTGTGTGTTTTATAGAGCAGAGCTGGAATGCCATCTAGACGCTGTGCTTCGAAACGTACGTATACCATAAGATACACTGAAGCTACCCTAGCAGCCGTCTGGTGCGTCAAACAATGGGAGGCAAGTCATGGTGAATGAGGGGGGGTACTGCTTGTGCAAGCGTTATCTATGAGCAGTTTCATAACTGAGCTAATCTAATGATGTTGGGTGGAGCTGCGGTTGATTGGCTGTACCCCGTACCGCAGCACCCTTGTGACATAACGTCGCGGCTGTACGGCTGACATTCAGTGTCGCTATCCCTCTAGAATATAGTTTCGGTCTTGCCGTAGACGCCTGAAACCAAACTTTGAGCCATGATACACCGCTTTAGCTGAAAACAGTTTTAACACAAAATTAAAAAAATATTGATCGGAGTTGCCCTTTAAACCAACTGCACTCTTATAAATGCAACTGGCTCCAGCAGATGGGGTCAGAGGACCTACATTAGACGTTTACCTGAAAATGGCAGCAGTTTACTCCTAATACGTTGATTACAGTAATCAACTTATGTTTCTCAAGAGTACTTGAGGAATACAGATGTACCAACAAGTAATCTAGCTGTTTTCTTTCCCTGTACTAGTATAAAGGAGTGGAATACACTTCAAAAGTGCTGGTTTAGCAAATATGTATAGTTTGAGTCAGAAAATAAATGCATATTGCACAGATATGTAAACATGTGTACATATGCATTTCATAGATACAATGATGGAAGCGGCAGTTGGCCTTTTGTAGCAGGCAAAATATTGTTTTGGAGCAGCCACTGATGATTTTGGAGCACATGTCAACCTCTCTTAGCATATCACTTGAAAATGAAAAAGTGATTGTGCCACTAAATTAGTTAATCTTTGATAATGGTTTAGGGTTCCTTTTTGATACTGAAACATATTACTTATTACCTTTTGTAATAAGAATAGATGGGGCACAAAAGGAACACAAAAGCCTTTTTTGAAAAAAGAGAAGGCTGAAGTCAGAGTAAGTTTCATTTGCACTGGGTATTGAAAAAAAAAATGTTGAAAAATGACTTGTTGCACAACACTTCAGTTGGGATAAAGACTCTCTCCCCCTCTCTCTTCTACACTCGGTAGTTCACTTGGCTTGTAAATATAATTTCAGTAAAATGCCAACAAAAATCGGTGTATCCACTAACACAAACATTAATAAAAATGTGCCCCAAGTTTTATGAACCTACCAAACTCAAAGCACGAATAAAATCAACTGCAAAAACAACCACCCACAAATAATATGAAAACCTACACTGGTGCTTTAAAAGTGGCACTGCTTATTAGTGGCATTGGAACCAATCAACATTGGAACCAGAGTTAGTAGGTCAAATTTTGCTGCTCTTTCGATCGACAGCTACACAGAACTACCTTGACTACCTTATTTATTCGAAGATAGACCCATGCTTCTTTCTTTTTCTTGGTACAGCTTTTTAAAATTAGAGGTTAACCTAGAATCAAGACCAAAAGAACATAATTGGTTGGTATTGCAATTTGCTTACATACTTGGTATCGCTTATGCCGTTCAACTGTTTAAACTAATGATTTACTGAAATGCTGTATAGCGACCCTGTTGAATTGCTGATAAAATGTTTTGTATATTTATGGTACTTTTATTCACCACACCTGCTAAAGCCCCTTAAAAAAGGGGTGAACGGTATTTCTAAATAAATACAAAGAAATTTCTGAGCCTATCACACTAACTTAGGTGCTCGCCCATGTCAGCTTCTGTTCCTAGCACTCTGGTGCAAAGCGGTGAAGCTCGATGTGCGCACTGGTGAGAGGCGGGGACGGCTGACGAAAGTGGAGCAAGTGCTACAATACACTGTAACCACGGCATGGAGGCATGTGACAGACACGATAAGGGATCTCATCAGGAGTACAGGAACCTAGTTATGTCTTTTCGCAGTAGCCAGTGCTACTATCCTTGCTCTTCAAATTTTTCTCTTGACTTTTAACTCCTGACATTGCCGACATCGTCTGGAAATATAGACGATGCAGGTAGACGGTCAACCGGCGAGCATAGTTGACGAGCAGTTTATATACTTTGTGTCACCTTAAGTCAAAGCACATGCAGCTGACGCTATGAGCCAATAGGACCAATCAAACAGCATCAAAGCGCGACATCATAGCATTTGCCATCTTCCTGCACGTGTTTTTCATTGGCTAAACCAGGGGTCTCAGACACACGGGTTGCATGCGGCCCGTGACTCTCTGGGACGTGGTCCGCAAGTGTCCCGTGGCTGCGAGCTCTCGCACCTATGCCTTGAGTGCTGCAAGCTCCATAAATAATGACCTCTTGTCGTCCATTCATTTTCACTAGATGCGTAGCTCTACTCTTATGACGTTTCAACATTTTGGCACTAATTTGTTTTCTTTCAGATCATAGAATGTTTCGTCGTGCATACCGTTAAGACAAAAGTATTTTCTTGCAATTCTGCTATAAAAATTGTCAGGGAAGCAAAAACTACCGTACGAAAAGAATTTATTTCGAGACATGGTGAACTATGATACTTCCCGAGTGAATTGAGCAACATAGTAAAGATTGTGTGCTTGGTTCCTAGTTATATTGAAAAATTCCAGCACGTTATGTGGATGGTTGTATTTTAAATCTTGTAGTCACACTAGGTGCAATTTTGAGCTATTAGTTGTATGAATAAATCAAAGCTAAAGAGGGAGCTGGTAAAATGGCTATTTTACAAAAGAGCAAGTAGTACGAGATCCCTTTTTTAGGAAATCTCTGGGTGTCTCTAAAAGACTCGGCTGCTTTGCAACATGGAACACCATCGAGTTTTTTTGTTTTTTCCCCCAATATATATTAATTTTCCCTTCCCCCACCCTATGTTGGCCCTCGACATTTTGGGGGTGGGCTAGTTGTCCCCCACACTCAAATGAGTTTGAGACCCCTGGATTAAACCAATCAAGTGCAACGAATGTCCCATGACTTTCGCTTTTAATATGTGTGTTTATGGTTGTATGTGCCTGAGCGTTCGACTCTGCTCTGACCTAAGATGAAACATAATATACTTTAAGTAGAGACGCTGTGAAATACATATGCAACATCTTGATCAGCTGAGACTAGGAACAAAAAATGTGTGCACGTCTCCATGTGTTGTCCACTTTTTGTTCTTAGTCTCGGGTATTCAAGCGGTTGCAAGTTCACCAGTTTGCCTGTATCTTCTCTGTTATTTCTAAAAGAGAAGAAAAAGAGGGTCGTAGACGGAAGAGGGACGAAGTGGCAGCAACGAAAAAAGCGATCTGTAATAATATAGATTTGTAGTACCATTTTCCTTTCTTCGTAGCTACTTCTTTGAATATTGAGGCCGCCCATTAATAATACACTTTAATTTTTTGCTTTGCCCATCTCGGCGCAGGTGTGGCGTAATTCTTAGCAAAAATGGCATTTTGGCACAAGATGTAGCAGACTTCCCTTTATGGCGCAAGTGGCGCAGCTCTTCCAACACCGTAGATATGTAAATATGTGTAGGTATGTGTAGTGATTGGATTTTGCTTATAGATTGGGGACAAGGAAGAAGAGGAAATAAAGGTGGAGAACAGAGATGGTCACCATTCCTTGGCTCCATTATATGTATTTCATAGATATGTAAAGGGATCTATAAATCAACCTTAGCATTGTACAGGTGTTTGATAATTCACGGGGAGGCTTTAAGAACAAGGACACATACTGCTAAATTTTAGAAGATAGGCACACATGTCCATATGCCATAGTGATAGCGAGACGCTATAACAAGTTTAGAAGTGCACGGTGCTTCGTCTCGCCCTCCCTAAAATGGCAACGGATTTGTCGAGAGCCTTGGGTTTTGGTAGAAAAACAAAGGACCATGATCACAAAAGGTAGGTTGGAAGATTGGTGGAGAAAGTCTAGAGAAGTGTGATAACAAAAATGATGGGATTTAACAAGAGAGACAATTCATAGCAAAATTTAAAGGGGAGGGGTGTAAATGTCTCTAGGCTAGACGGCACTAGCTACAGCCCAATTCAAAAGGTGCAATAAATACCATCTGTCCATTCATCCTGATAGAGAACCTACACTTGCTGGAAGTGTTCTAATCGTCTTCACACTGCCTCACAAGAAAATGGTATTCACGACCCCTCGCAAGAGGAGAGCTTTTGGCTAGAGACAGAAGCAAGGTGGGCTTGTTCTGTTACGACCAAGGACTAAGTGAGGGAATGAGGTTCGTCACAATTATATCGGCGGAATGGGGTTCATAAAAGAAATGTCAAAATGTAATTGCATTTTGATGTAGTCTGCAACAAAACACTGCAGAAACTGCCCCGTTTTTTTTTATATTAATTTAGTAGTGACCATCATGGGGATTATGCGTAATTAATTTTCAAAGTATATTCATATTCTCTATTGTAAATCAATATTAGTACACAACTTCTCAGACCTAGCCCATTGATGTGGGCCTGTTTCACCTTTGTAGTGTTTACCTGGTATTGAAGGAAATGCTGTCTGGTGTTCTGTCTGGTGTTCTGTGTGGTGTTCTACATGCCTAAATTAAAAAAAAAAAAAAGATTAAATATTGCTTGCTCACTCCAATTATTGTTTTTTCTAGGGGACTGTTAGTATTGTGAAATAAATAAATAAGTATCTTTAAAAAAACAAGTGCATGCATAATGCATTACCTGCAGAAATGCATATTTCAACTTGTCCTTGCTGCAGATGCTTTAGCATGAGGCTACAGAATGAGAATTTTGTTCTTGAATTGTTGGCTAAGGCATAGTACTTGCATAATAATAACATTGGAATGATGTCCTCAACTGTCATACACAATATACGTGGGACAGCACAAAAAAACTGGCTCTACTTGCTACATCGGTTTAGGTCAACACGTGACTCACTGGCTACTGGAAATGACACCTTCAAAGTAATCTGGTTATTGCGGATAAGGTGACAACAACCCACACAACAATGAACACATTTAACTACTGTGTCTATTGTTTCAGGTGGCACTTACACTAGTGCCTTTGCACTTCTTGTAGTAGTCGATGAAGGAGAAGGGCAGCGAGATGTTGAGTGGCGTGTCCTTGTAGGGAGTCGCATTCCGCTTGCGTGCTTCAAACGCCACCATCAAATCGACATAGGCAGCGGGCCTCTTAAGCTTGAACTGCTCCATAAAGTCGGCCCCGAAGATGGCGTACAGCAGTCGCTCAAATTCGAGGTCTATGCCAACCGATCCATAGGGACCACCCGTGGCCTTGTGAAGTTCCTTGAGGGTGCCATGCTGGTCGTGAAGTTCATGCACGGTGATGTCTACCGTGCCACCTCCACAGTCCACCACCATGTACTTGGTGCCTAGGCAAACAGAACCATGAGTACTGGAGTCTGCCAGAAACGTGGAATCTTAAACTGCACATAAAATACTTAGCACTCAAAGCACTAAATTTTTTAGACTTGTGCCCACCGATGCCTGCTGGCGCAACCACCGATCCAGTGTCAAAATGAATTTGCTAGAGTATCGCGTCACAAGTCCGACACTCGATTAGAAATGAACACACTCAACATTGTTTGCGTTCAGCTTGGTGCTTGGTTGACCGAATGATGTGTTACCTGAGCTGTTTTGGTGGATGACTAAAGTTGTCGCAAAAACGAGATAGGACTGAAACATAACTTCATGGCATAACACCATTTATCCATAGATAGTCTTGGGCTGAAAGTGTCAAGCCTCACTATACGACATAATTGCAAGAACCCATTTGAGTGATACTATAGCCCCATTTTGTAAGATGAGTACTGATTTGGCAATTCCTATGTAAGGATTACTACCCAAGTAATATTTTGGTACAACGGGTCGGAGCTATTCACCAGAACTGAAGGGTTTACCAGTGGAGATGTAGGTTTAGACATGCTTTTTTAAGTGCTTTTGAACTGTCTAACCTGAAAGCATAATTTTGCAAAAGATGTGATAATTACAGTGAGATACTACGGGAAATTGAGTTTCTTCTCTTGAAAAGAAACAAGGAGACATGCTCATTGGTACCTGTAACCTCCTATTGGCATATGCTGCCAGCAACCTATTTTCGACCCATGCACAATGGTAATGTCTACATAAAGTTACAAAACCAAATAAGTAGCTCATTAGCATTTTTCTGAGGTGAAGTGGCCATTTGCCTGTGTGTTGTTATAACAGACTCAGTGATGGAAGCGGCATTTGACCTTTAGTAACAGGTTCTGTAGCAGACAAGGTATTGGTTTGGAATAGCCACTGACGCTTTTGGAGCAGAGGCCAACATCTGTTAGCACATCATTTGAGAATGAAAAAGTGGCCGCGTCTCTAAATGAGTTCACTTATGATAGTGATCAAGGGTTCCTCTTTGATAGTGGAGCATATTACTTCATAGCGTTTGTGTTAAGAATAGATAGGGCGTGACAGAAACACAGTCTTCTTAAATAAGGCTTTAGTCAGAGTAGGTTTCATTTACAATGGTTATTAAAAAATGGTTGAAAGCTGAATCATAGCACAGCACTTCATTGGGATAAATCCTCTCTCACCTCTTCATTGTACACTCGGTAGTTTGTTTGGCCTGTAAATATAATTTCTGTAAAATGCCAGCAAGAACCAGCATATCCGCTAACACGCCTACCAATAAAAATATGTCCCGTAAGTTTAATGAACCACCCAAATATATAAAAGCCTAGACTTGCGCTTTAAAGGTGACTCTGCTCTTTAGCGGTGTGGGAACCAGAGTTAGGTCAAAGTTCGCTGCTCTTTCGATCGACAGCTGCACGTGAACTACCTTGACTACCGTATTTATTCAAATATATCATATGTCGACCCGTGTTTTCTTCTCTCTCTCTTTCTCTGCTCAGCTTTTTTTTATTTTTAATTTGAGATTAACTTACAATTAGGACAAAGAAGGTCGACCTGTAATAATCCTGAGCATTATTTGCGTGCCTATCGCGCTAAGCCAGGCGCTCTCCCAGGTCAGCTGCTGCTCCTAGCACTCCGGTGCAAAGCGGTGAAGCTCGACGCGCGCACGCTGGCGAGAGGCTGTGAAGGCTGACGCGAGCGGCGCAAGTGCCGCGATGCAGCCATGGAACGAAGGCATCTGACAGACACGATAGACAAGTGATCTCATCAAGAGTACAAGACCCTGGTTCCGTTTTATCAGAGTAGCCGCAATCGGCAATCCTACTATTTTGCGAATTTTTCTCGAGACTCAGTTCCTGACATCGACGACATCGTCTGGAAATTTAGACCATGTCGGCGATCAACCAGCCAGAGCATCAACCGGCCAGAGCGGTTGATGCCCAGCATCCAATGTTCTGGCCGGTTGATTCGCCGCATCAAAACGCGACATCGTGGCATTTCTAATCTCCTTGTAGGTGTTCTTTCACCGGCTCAATCAACCAAGTGCAGCGAATGTCCCGTGATTGGCGCTTTTAGTATGTGTGTTTGTGGTTGTATGTGTTCGAGCGCTCGACTGTGCTCAGACCAAACAAGACGAAACAAGCTATACGGTGAGTAGAGATGCGGTGAAATTCATATTTGTACATTTTTTCTTTACTCCTACTTCTCTGAATATTAAAATCGCCCAATTATATATATTTTTTTCTACTTCAAGCCTATATCGGCGGAGGAGGCGCAAGATGTAGCAGACTTTCGTTCATGGTGAAATTTGTCGGAAGTGTAGAAAGGGCCAATCAAAAAATAAATGTTTTTTTAAACAGTCTGGTTGGGACATGCGGGTCAAAAAATTGACTTACGTGAAAAAAAAAAAAAAAAAAAAAAAAATTACTATTGACGGCGCGAGACGTGATTTAGTCGATAGTCACCTCCTTTCACTTGTTTTCTCTCCTGGCATTTCGGGCGCGTGGAGGAGAGGTGGATCGGCTTCGTTCTTACGTCGACGTGGCAAGAGCGAATGACCATTTCGTTGAGCGAATGACCATTGACGTTTTTTTCGCGTTTTTTTTTTTTTGACACGCATGTCCTTATCAGATTGTTTAAAAAAACAAGTATTTTTTTTCTTTTTATGGGTCTTTTAAAGCTTTCAGTTGGTTGTTAAACTTAGCGCTGCCAAAACTGCAGAAAACATGGCACAATTAAAAGCTGACATTCACGAAAGATGTTTAATTGGCACCTTCACAGTTAATCTTTCACCTTCCCTTTGGTCTTCGTACTTGAAGGGGCCCTGCATTCATATTTGAACGTCTACCTTTTTTGCGGTTTCCACGTCTCTTGTGGTTCGGGCAACCCAGCAGAAGCGGAGAGAATAACTAAACATCAGTGCGTCATATTTTAACTGGACGACGCGGAAACCTCGGATGGATGGATGGATGAATACGGCTGAGCCCTTTGGATCGGGCGGTAGCTTACGCCACCTAGCCATTTTGTTTTACCATTTAAGCTTAGAATATTTAAATGTGAAATCTATATTCACTCCGCAGTGCAAAGAAAGTGAGGCTATGAAACCCCCTTGCCATCAGTGGATAAGAAAATACCTAGTTTTCTCTCGATTTCTGCCACCATTCAATTAATCTTTGCTTGGTAATCTCTACAGTCTTGAAATCCACTCTCCCTTCGCTGTCTCTAAAACCCAATGACTTTATTAAGTCTATGTTGTCTTCGGTAGGCATAGGGTGAAGCCCTTTACAGTAGAGTATCAAGTGCTCAGCCGTCTCGTCCTCCTCTCCACAAGCAGTGCACACTGTATCAATTTCCTGGTACTTCACTCTGTATGTTCTGGTTCGCAGAACACCCGTTCTTGCCTCAAACAGCAATGAGCTTCCCCTAGAATTGTCATAAATGCTTTCTTTGGCAATAACTCTTTTGTTTAATCTATAGCTTTCCAGAGCCGTCTTTGTCTGCATTCCCTCTAGCCACCAATCTCTTTCTGTGGCCTTAACTTTCTTCTTAACTGAGACTTGCTCTTCCGTATCTTCGCTATAGCCCAAAAACTTTCCTCTTAATTTCCTAGTGCGCTGTCTCCACTTTGTGTCTACACTCCTCATGTATAAATAGCTGAAAACCTTTCGTGCCCATTGCTCCCCGTCCATTTGCCTCAACCTATCATCAAATTCTACCTTGCTCACCGCTTCCCTGCTCTCAAATGATGCCCATCCCATGTCTCCTTGTACTCCCTGGTTTGGCGTTTTGCAATGTGCCCCCAAAGCCAGTCTACCTACTCCGCGCTGTTTTATTTATAGTCTCGCATGCACTTCGGATTTCATGCATAGCACTGCGTTTCCAAAAGTCAAGCCAGGCACCATGACCCCTCCTCCTACGGGGGCGCCCCGTGGTGTCGAACGCGCGCGGCATGTGACGAAATAGTGACGTTTTTGGTCCTGGTCAGTCAAGGAGAGAGAGAGCTGCCCCGTTCCCGCGCAGCTCTCTCTCCTCGGCCTCACCTCCTTTCTCCGTCACTCCTCCCTCCCCACATTCCTCAGTCACCGCGGTCCGCGGACGCGGGAAAAGCGGGGACAGAAGCAAGGGCAGATCCAGAACTCCGTTTTTTTTTTTTTTTTTTTTTTTTTGGGGGGGGGGGGGGGAGGGAGGGGGGATTTCTAAGGATACTATTCTCCCATTCTTTCTTTGCACCGGGGGGGTCCACTCATGTCAAATTGCCTTCCCAGAAGGGGGAAGGAAGGGGAGGGGTCGACTTTGTTTGGGGCGGGTGCGCTCCCGTCGCGCCCCCCCCCCCCCCCTTGGATCGCCCCCTTGATAGAAGACCAAGGACGTCATGAAGGATGTTATTTTTTTGCTTGTTTTTGTCATTTTAATATGCCTATAACTTTTAAAATGAAGCGAATTTTGAGAAAAGAAAAGGTTCACTAAGTTACAACGTTCAGCGCGCTCAGGTTCGGCGCAAATTAAAAAAAAAAAAGCAAAAAGTCGTTCAGCGTTCCTTTAAATGAATGTAAGCAATCTGTAATCATCGACGGTCACTTTTCATCACTGTTACAAATAGAGTGTGGCATACCACAAGGTAGCATTGTGGGTCCGTTCCTCTTTAATACTTCTATTAATGATCTTGCAAACATTTCTGAAAATATCTTTTTTGTCTTGTATGCTGATGATACCAGTTTGTTCCTCAGTGACGCAGATGCGGATGACCAAATAATCAAAGGAAATTCTATATCGCCTAGATTGTTTTCATGGTCGCAAACAAATGGTCTACTGTATATATTAATGAAACAAAAATGAAGGCAGTTTTATCCAAATCATTCAATAAACATGTAAATATAAATTAAATTTTCCATTTCCAATCCATTCTGATTGAATTAGGAATACAACATAGAACATTAGGTATTATATTTTCAGAAATCTACTGTGGGACCAACACATAAACCATGGTCGTCAGCAAATTACGTAAAATTGTTGGTATGCTTGCACGTTGTCGAGCCATTTTCCCCGAAAAAAAAAAATAGAACTACAAATATATCACGAGTTGTTTAAATCCCATATACCTTATTGCCATCTTGTTCGGGGTACGATTACGAAAACAAATCTTAAAGTATTATTACTACAAAAAAAAAGTTTATTTTTATTGTAAACGTTCATCTTTTGGCCCACACAGAAACTCAATTTTCACAATATAAAATAAGAGTACATCGATTTTATATGAGTACCGTTTGACTATGTCATTTCGTTTCTCTTACATCAGGATTAATTAAAAATATACCCACCATCCGCACCCGCCGCCCCGAGGAATAAAAAGTGTTTCCTTTTCGCACAAACTACACGTTTCCAGTCTGTTCCAGTCGCACAAACTACAGTTTCCAGATGATGTGGACATTTACTCTATAAATCCCCAATCATTGTATCTCTTTTTGTATACATGGGTTGCACTGACGCCACATCGCACACTTTTGACCACCATGTAAGAGGAGGAGAGGGAAGCTGCTTTTGTAAGAATTTTGAGGGATGGGTTAATTTTCTACAATCTTCTGGGAGGAGAATAGCGACACCTGTGCAAATGCGGGATGCGTAAAAGAAGATCTAGATAAAAGGGGAGCTCCTTCTTGCCCTCTTCTCTGGTGGTCGTCGGAGCGCTCTTTGAATCGCGCCACGTGCAACCCATGTATAGTATGTGATGTAAACCTGTAAAACCTTTATCTCTCTTATACGTGTATTTATTTTGTTGCTGAATTCTCTAGAGCTATTTTGTATAACCGCAGCTGTCGGCAAGTGCGCGGGGCACAGACCCCGTCAAGTCAACATGCATTGCATTGTCAGTAGCTGCATTGTCTGTAACCTATACAAATGGTAAAAAAAAAAAAAAAACTGCTTGTGGTTTGGATTTTGAATAACCATGCATGCAACCGATGAGATCTGCTTGATGCAGCAACAGGCAACATATTTGTTTCATGCTGACAAAATGGTTGCAGCGAACTGCATGCACATTATGAAGGAACATTAATCATAAGTAGGCCACAGATCTTTCAAATTCAGGTAAAACCAGTGGATGAATTTTGGAATTTATTTTCTTAGTAAAGATTGGCATATTTCGATTGGATTCCCTGACATATATGTGCTATTATCAGTAATTATCAGAGAATATGAGGAGACATTGAAATAAAATTAGAGGTAAGAAATGTTGCATTACTCTTAAGTGTTGAACTTGTCATTGGGTTAAAAAAAGTTTTGCCGGGGCATGCCAGATGTCCTTCGCTAGTTTGGCACGAAGCCCCCAGATTTGCCTTGTCCTTTGAACTTAGCTAAAAATGAAAGGACTGTGGCCCAATACAAAGGGTGCATTACGTTCATGAAGCTCCTATCTTGCTGGCAGACGCACACGGCATGACATTCACAAAAACGATTTGGCAGCTGTCAACCAGGCATTCATTCATACTTTGCAAACGGGACGTCGAACTGCTTGCAACATACCAATATATCGCAGGTGGCCGACATGAACTGCAGTGTCGTAAACACAGAGCATCACAAATACACAGAAAGAAAGGATAAGAATGAAACCAGGAATTACCTCCATAAAGGTAATCCTCAATCACTTCAGAGCGCAACGAGGGTAAGAAATGCATGTCTGCAAGAAGGAGGCAAAATTGATGCAGCATTAAGCACAAGCACATGCACACGGTCACAAGGGACAAAGACTGCATTCATTGGGCCATTCGCTGAAAGCATGCACTGTGCACAGTGGGGCCACGAGCTAGGTCGGCAGTGCTCGAGTGAGGTTCAAAAAGCACATGGTACATCCAGAGGTCTCAAACATTTTGTTAGAATTTGGCAGTCGTGCAGTTACACAAAACATGAAGTCTACTATTCATCAAAGCAGGGGCTCTCGGTCTCAGACATTTTGTTCCTAGAGAGGCAAACCTACAGCTGCCTTCGAAGACTGCTGAGAAACCAGTTTCCATGTTCTTTCATTCAAACGAGTCACAAACCCAATTCTGAACTCTAAATACTAGAGAGAGAAAAATGGTACTGCGTAGGCTCGTAGTCGTGCATCAAAGTATGGCTTAGCTATATTTAATTGTGGCCTAATTGGAAAAGCCGTTTACTTAGAGGTAAGACGTGTTTAGTGTATGTGGAACCACCGGAGGTACTGTAGAGAGTACCTGAATTTTTAGGAACCCCATTTGAGAGCCCATGCTTCGAAGAATTTTGTGTGCTAATAAAGTTTATTTCCCTGCTATATAACTAAGCCTTCGCTAGCTGTAGGGACATTGTAGATGTAGGGTCTGTACCCCTATACAGCCTGTAGTTTCACATGCTGCCAGTAGGAACAGACAAGGTGATGACTCTTCAAAGTGAACAATCAAGGGTGTCGGAACTTTCACACACCAAACATTTCACAATAAAGGAGGTATTGTGGAGATCACAATAAAAACTATATATGCATAAACTCGTACAAACATTTTGCTCTAGAAATTAATTTTTATCATCACAGATCTTCGAAGAAATTTTGTGACAAAGTTAGTATCTGAGAGAGAAAAATGAATGCTAACACAGATTTAATAATTTAGCTTTCGCCTACGTTCAAAGCACAGTAAGTGCTTGTGTCTCACTAAATCAGAAATCATAGATTACCTACAGCCACTGACAGGTATTAAATAGTGAAATACTAAATGGCACGCTCATTTTCGATTATCAGTGCCCACGATAGGCAAATGTATATCCTCTTTCGTTTTATAAAGGCTTTAAAAATGCAATGATTTTAGATGAGAATAGAATACACCAAGCTTGGGTGCGTGGTCTATTCGGTAGCATCACGTATTACGGGACTTCACACGTGGCTGTGACGTCATGATCCTATCGACCCACAAAATTGGGCGGGAATATTTTCCGCTAAATTTGTCGTGAAAAGTTTCCGCCAAATTTGGTGGGAACATTTTCCATAAATTTTGCGGGAAAATTTTCCGCTAAATTTTGCGGGAAAACTTTCCGGTAAGTTTGGCGTAAATTTTTCGGTTAAATTTGGCGGGAAAATTTTCTGCTAATGTGGCGGAAAAATTTTCCCGCCATATTTAGCGCGTAAATCCCAGAATGCAACGCGCGCAGCCACGTGTAGTGTCACGTGTAGGCTGCGCGAGTTGCATTATGGGATTTTTGGGTCCCACCGACGTCGGGGCTGGCGCCGGGTTTTCTGCGACACGAGCTACTAAACGCTATCGCTTCAAAAGGTCTGCGAGTCACACCATTTGATTTGTATGTAGGATGGCCGTTACGTAAATGGGGCACGGTCGTGCATCGGGTGCGGACATACCTACTTGTCATTAAAAAAAAAAAAAGAGAAAAAGTATATGGGTGATTTTATTTCAAATCGGGCAGGCAAAAATGGTAAAATTTTTAATTTTGACGACAAAAGTATATGTTGTAGGGAATTTTGCATCTAGAAGGAAGGTGAAAGCCGCGGGTTCGGGTGATTTTCTCGACTATTGAGCTTCGAAGCGGCCGCGGCGGAAATGAGTTTTTCCCGACTAACTCACTCTCCTCCAATGTGGACACTATGAAGAAGGTTTGATGGAAATAAATATTTTTAGGCGCTCTACTTTTTTTTTTTTATAAGAACTTGTTAAGCTGGCTTTTAGATTAATATTTCATGAACTTTAATAAGCTGCTATTGTGCCGAGAAACTGAGCGAAAGAAGACGAGAGGGGAAGTCAGAATGCCGAGGTCTGGTTGGAATGATTAGTTGATAGACCGACTTTGCCTCCACTGCACTCGCCGAATGCGCTGTTAGAGCGCGGAACGCCGGCGTCCGGCGTTTGGCTCTCGCATTCGAAAGCGTTTGACGAGTGCAGTGGACTTTCTAATTAATAGTGCAGATCACATAATGGCTTAGCTTATGCTTCTTTTTTTATATAATAGGACAAAGATACGGATATATATTGAAATCACAGATACGCCAGAGGTCGATAAGGTTGCGTGTATTTCTACCTAAACTACACTAAAACATATTTCACAATATTAGGGTTTAAACAGAGGCCACACAAACAAAATATTACATTTATAGAGCATGTATCTTCGTAGAAAACTATTTTTTACAAGGATACAAAAAGATCAAAAGTATAAAAACTGTGTTTTTTAAAATAAAATTAATATCAAGCTTGCGACTTTCTCTATTTTTACGATTTTTAAGTAATAATGCCGCCAAAGATAATGCGCGCAACTAAATGATTTTACATCATTTCGGGAGAGCCTATTTAGCGCTTTCCGTGCAGATTAAAATTATAAATAGAACTTAAGCTGCTCACAAATAGTGGCTTGACAAAGTAAAAAAAAAAAAAATTCAAACTAAAAAACAAATTTGACAATTTCTTAAAAAAAATAAATTAAAACGCTTAAAATATTTATTTCAATCAAGCCCTCTTTGTGGTGTCCACAGAGTTTTATAGGAAAATTACATGAACGTGGAGGAAAATACCACGGCAGAAAAGCGAGGCAAACATGCGACCTTCGACAATCGGGGAAAAAAACGCTATCCGCCGCGACCGCTTCAACGCTCCATAGCTCGAGAACAAAAATATAATCCAAACCCATAGGTTTCACTTTTCTTCTAGATGGAAAATTTCCAGTAAAATATAATTTTTTCGTAAAAAAAAAAAAAAAAAAAAAAATCGACTCTTTGCACGATGAGATGAAAACACCTATATACAAAGGATAGTGCGCAATTAATATAACTTCTCTCGCTAATTGCCTTCACTGAATAGACTTAACCAAAAATAAACAAGAAAATAATAAAAAAAAAACACTTTAAGGTAAGACAAAAATGACGGCATTTATGTAATAATTCATTGCAGTAAGCCTAAACTTAATTATTATTAGTTTTTTTTTTTCTTACGAACACGACGGTGTCAGCCTAGTTAGCTCCGCGATTTGAGTGGCAAATATAAACCGAGCTTTAGGAACTATTCGCACATCGGCCAAGTTTTTGAAGGTCGCTCGCGAGCTGTGTTCTGACCACGCTTTGCAATGGTCGCGAATGGGGGCCGCCGGTAAGGCGTCGACGAGAAAGCGCGAGATTTGTGGGCAGCAAGTGAACCTGGCTTCTCTTCCACAGCGGGCTCCGTGTTCAGCTCAGGGATGATGTCTCTGAAGAGGTAGACTCTGGGCGGTGCTTCAGGCACCAGCTGGTGCATCCGCAGTTTGCGGCAGTAGACGGACGCCGCCTCCGGTTCCAGGGCAATGATCAGCTGGTCCGGAGAGTCCGGCGATCCAATGCCAGCCTGGGTGAGAGAAACACTCCCTTCAGCCCGTTTAAAGGAGCTGTGCGACGATTTTAACGTTGAAAGAATTGGCATCTTCTACTTTTGATATTGTTTATCTTGACACAAAGGACAGAGAACAAACCTCCTCCTTCAAAATGTTGCGATTCCGCCGCGTAATCGCGCGGCAAAAATTAGAGCATTCCCCGACCTGCAGCCGCGGGCGGCGGCCGCGAGAACCACGCGGCATGACGTCAATGGGGGTCTAGTAGAAAGCTAGCAAGTTGTGCGAATACCTGCTCGACAAAAGGTAACTTTTCTATAAATCTTGTCGTTCCAACATAAATATAATTACGTCAAAAACCTGGTGTCATCGACAAAACTTTTATTATACGGAGTTTTAGTGGCGCCATCCATCCTAGGTCCACAAAACCGTCAGCTTTATCTGCTACCGCGAATAGCCTCCAGAAGCCGGAGGAGAAACTGGGCAGAGCCGCACGGGAGTGGCCGGACCCGGATGAGACTTTCCTCCTTTCACCATACTGTTCGCGCTGCGCCAGCACGTGGTCACGCGGTCGCGAGCGGATGAGTTCTCGCTGCTCACCGATGGCTCTAGAGAGAGAGCTTCACCGGAACCCCGCGCAACCCCCAGTGACGTCACAGCGCACGTGACTCGGAAGATGGTGAAGAAGTTGAGAGGTGCCAAAAACCTCAATTTTGTGCATTTTTAGAATAAAAACTAGGACATGTCGGCAAAAGCGGTTTTTTGTTCTTTACTTCAGTAAGGTCGAGACACCGACTCCCAAATTATTCAAGCAAAGCACTGAAACTGTTGCACAGGTCCTTTAAGGTCATGCTGCGATAGCTTAAGGGCCTTGAAGGCCGACCTCCCTCTATAGTTTCTTTTCTCTCGCCTGCCCCGTTCCCGGTGGTCGCAGGCGAGGAATCCGAATTCAAAAACAGGGTCGCGTTCCTGCGGTGCTTCGCTGCAGACTACGTCGAAATGCGATCATTTAAAAATTTCTTCTGCGGCCATATTCCGTTGGTTAAATCGAGGCGAACCCTCTAGCGGGTAATTCTGGTCGCTTTTTATCAATAGACCCATTCTGAGGGTCTGAATCATCGCACAATAGGCCTGTTGCACTCGACCAGGGGGCGCGAGCGCGTTCACAAGACGCGACCATGTAATGTTGGCTGCGGCGACTGCAAGAGGCGACCAGAAAGGCGGCGTTGTAGCGTTCATGCACGAGCCACGTTCGAATGCTAGCAGAGATGCAAAATTTTTTTTTTTTTTTCGGTAATAACTACTTCCTTCCCTTTTTTTTTTGGGGGGGGGGGGGGGGGGGGGCGGGGGGGTTGTATATACACCAACTCAACTCTCCTACGTCACGCCGCGGTGGTGGCGCGCCGGACGCACTTCCGGTCTGGGGCGGTGGGCAGAAGTCGCCGTGCCAGACATGCATTCCCGTGTTCCTTTGGAAGAAACGAGACAAAAAACCTGCCTTCTCGTCAAAATGCTGCGATGGGGGCTGTACCAAGAGAGCCTGGAAAGGTTTGAAGATCAGTTTTCATGTGTTTTTGCACCCTCCGTTCGTCCGAGAACGTGGATAGTAGCCGTGAAAAGGGCAAACCAGACGCTGTCGAACTACGATTGCGTGTGCGGGCCACAATTTGTGGTCGCCAGATGTATTTGCTTTGTTCCAACATGAACGAGAGAAAACACCCGAGTGTTCCGGACCACCCACGGGTTCAGTGCGTCTTCAAATTCACACGGCCGCCTGATCGTTCGAACTTTCGTCTGCTCTTTCAAAGTTGTCTGCTTTTTGTCGTCTGTTCGTTCAAACAAAAGCGGCCCGTAGACCAAACTTTGACCCGGTGATTGCAATAAGAAGTAATTGCAGGCCTCGAAAGGCTTAAGTAGGCTCGGTGTAAACAGTAGATACAAGATGTTAATTATTGGAACCGGTGGCCATCACCTACTTGTTACGCTTGGTCTGTTCCCGCTTTCGAGTTTCAGTATCGACGTCGATCATCGCCGCTACCTTTTACACTTTTGCAGCATGAGCGACGTCGCGACCGAAAATAGCTACAAGAATCTCATCATGGTTTCGGCGTCCATTCTGCGGCGTTCATGCGAATGAATCTCCGCACGTCAAATTATTTACGGAAAGTTTTGCGGCGTAACGAGCCTTGATAATTTCGCTCAGGCGATCAAAGTGGTAAGACACTGCGATGAGGACGTAGAATCGACAACGCCAAAGCGACAAGAGTATGCAGACTCACACAGGACGCCGACAACGTGACATTCGAATGGTTTGTTGACGCGGGACGCGGTGCTTCTTGCCCGTACTCCATTGCGCGTGGGTTCGAACTGTCGTCTGCTCTTTCAAACTTGGCTGCTTTTTGTCGTCAGCTCGTTCAAACGACAGCGGCCCGTAAACCAACCGTTGACCCGGTAATTGCGATACGAACTAAGTGCAGGCCTCAAAACACTTTTGAAGGTTGGTTGAGGTAAGTCGGCTAAGGTGTAAACAGATACAAGAAGTTGTTGATCATTGTTACCAGTGGCCATCACCGACTAGTAATGCCCGATTCTACTTGCGGTTTTCAGTATCGATGTCCACCATCTCGGCTACGGTCCACGCTTTGGCAGTCCGAGCGACGTCGCGACTGAAAATAGCGAGCAGAATCTCATCGTGGGAGTCAGGCTTTAGCGCCCATTCTGCGGCGTCCACGTGAAATGAATCGCCCCACGTCACATTATTCGCGCAAAGTTTTGCCTCGATAGTTTTGCTGAAGCCGCTCAAGTAGTCAGACATTGTTAGGAGGACGTAGGATCAACAATTCTAACGAGAAAAAGAGCACGGGGACTCCCACCGACGCCGACAACAACGCAATTCAATGGTTTGTTTATGGGCGACGGCGGGCTTTTTGCCCACCATCCACCGCGCATGCGCGGCGCCGGCGGCGTCCGCTAGGGGCGCTCCGGTTTGTTTGTAAACATGAGTTGGTGTATACTGTACTCTGATTACCTAGATATTTGCGGCAATTTGCTTCGCGATGCTACCCCTCCTGCATTCTCTTACATTTTGTCATATATGTGTTCGGGTAATTCGGGATAGCCTTGCACCATAAGCGCTTTTCCCTTTTCAATCCCCCCCCCCCCCCCCCCCCCCCCCCACACACACACACACACAAACGAAAACAAAACCCAAATCTTATTTGGGTTTGTTATACGGTGGACATGTGCATGTATAAACAAAATTCAAATAACGTAGACTAGTCTAGTATTCAGTTTTACACTGTTGTTCCAGATAGTAAAAAAATTCATTGGAATGTTTTGTAGCGTTGTTTAGTTCGTTGGAGGGTGCTTCCCTTATGGCACAGGAGCACAGCGGGAAAGCGACATTTGCAGAGCGGACATTCTGAGGGACGCGAAAACAACGCAGTGCGCGCAGCTTTTGCGAAATGCAGCTTCTGCACCTTCGCAGCTTCTGCTTCTCCGAAATGGCGGCTCTCCCCGCACAGCTGGGAGCAGCCGGGAGTTCACGCGCTCACACCTCTCACTCTGCGCCGTAGACTGATTGGCTCACTCGGGAGGGGCGTTCCGGTGGCCGAGATCATAGACTGGCCAAACTCTCCCAATATGCGGCTCTGCAAGCGACAACCCACTGACCGAAATGAAAGACGCTTCACGTCAAAAGGTATCTGGATAGTTATTTCCAGAGCCAGTTGATTATCTCGCCGCCGTGACGCCCCCCTCCCGAGTGAGCCAATCAGTCCGCGGCGCAGAGTGTGGCGTGAGCGCATGTGCGTGAACCCCCGGCTGCTCCCAGCTAAGCGCGGAAGGCCGCCATTTTCATTCACTCGCCCGGCGGAATGCAAGGGATCGACATCCAAATTTCGCTTCTTTCCTTTTATTTCCCTGGCTGTGCCAAGAAAATAATATAGTGTCATTCCTCGGTGGCTTAAAAAAGCTAACGACTGAAGTTTTCTCGACGTTTGACCGGAAACTTTCATTCAGGCGAAAAACAAAAGTCGGCCCGTAGCAGACGACGCGTAACCTCAACGGTGCTCCGCGCCGAAATCCTGTTGCGGCCAAATGGTTGGTCTTTCTCTTTTTGCTCCCTCCTTCCTCTCTCGCTCCTTCGGCGCTTTCCCCCCTTTTCCTTCACTTTTCTCCTCTCCAGCGCCTTCGTCGCAACGGCTACTGGCCAGACTCTCCCAATATACAGTTCTGGTTATTTCTACGATCACTGCCACGCCAACTAGCGCATATCCTGTGGCTTGCCGCACCTTGCTCCGATGCTGCCCCGTAGCGCAGCTCAAGTTCATCGGCAGCGCCAGCGCCTGCGGCCCGAGCAACCGCAGGGGTCCTTCCTGGGGCGTACCTTGTAGGCGGCAGCGCGCATAAACTGCTTGGCGGGCTGCCTCCAGATGGCCGGCACGGTGACCACCCAGCGCACGTCGTCCGGCAGGATGGTGGTGGCCGACTGCTCACTCAGCTCCTTCAGCGCCTGGTCCCGGAAGTAGCGTAGGGCGTGCGCGAACACCGTCAGCGCCGGCATGGGCTTGCCGTTGGCCGCCGCGATCTCCGTGTCCCGGCTCAGGCTCTGAAACCCCAAGGGATGCCACGTCGTTTTCCCTGATTATCATCAACCTCCCTTAATTTTGAAGTGTCTCTTCCGCTCTGGGAGACCACATAGATACAAGCACGCCATGGTGGGAGGTGGGGGGATTGCCGAAAGAAATAAAAAAAAAGGCTAAAAAGCTCTTGCATTCGAAAAACAAAAATCACTAAAAGTTTTGATGTAGGCACCTTAAAAACTACCTGTCTTAAGCTTTTCTTTTATACCTTATAACAAGGAGCATCGTAACAAGTTTCGATGGAGCCCCGCCCCTTGCGGCGCGCGCTGAGCTCGCGAGCGGAGAGAACTATCCCCGAGTCCAAACCAGTTCTCGGTCCAAAGATATTACCTGTACTAGGTTATAAATTTTCTTATGAGCCAAGGCAACCTAACCTAACTTTAAGTCACGACAGCTACTAACATGTATACTATGCTCGTCGTCCCAAGGCCAAACACGTGTTTGAATAAACATGTTACCTGAGCAGTTTTTAAAGGCAATAACATTTCTTCCCCCCCCCCCCCCCTCCCCCGCCCCGCAAAGATCGCGAAGACGGAACAAAACTGTGTGCGCTTTTGTTCTGCACAAAACAAAATGTCTGCAGCAGAGCATCGCAAAAACAGCTGTTTTCTTTTCTCTCTTGCGTGTTTTTTTTTCTCCTGAGCTCTTTCTAAATATTATTGTCTAGAATAAATTTTCACAACACAATTTGTATGGCTTTGAATTAACACGAGCCAAGCAAACATAATCAAACACGTACACAGTCTGATTACAGTTTCTGAAATAAACATTCGAGGCCGAGCGCTGTGAAGCGGTCGCCCAATCGTTCCGAGAGGAACGTATGGGGCCAGAGGGGGTACCTCGCTGCTGTGGAGGGTCATCTTGAACTTCTCGAAGAACATCCACCGCTTGGCCTCCTGGGTGTCCAGGTCGTGGTAGACGTCACGGGCCGTGAAGCCGAACGAGTGGAACTCCCCGTCCGGATTCAACAGCAGCGTCGTCGGAGTCTTCTGGTTCACGATGCCGGGGTCGCCGCCTGCGTTCACACAGGTCTGGGTCACGCGACACGCCCATGCATGCAAAACGAACACACACAAAATTAAGATTTATTTTTCGAGTAAAAATGAAAAAGAAAAAAAAAACAAAAAAACTGGACCTAAAAATATTTAAGAAAAAACTGTTCGTAAAAAGAAATCACCTAAAATGCTACGCGAATTCATGTAGGAAACACGGAACCCTGATCCTCCGAGTTAGCAGTCGGCGCGTCTACGTCTTAAAATACAAAAAGATGCCAATAAATGCGAAACCACAAATGCATACACTGTTACGCGTCTTTGTGGTTTTAGCTGACGTTTTATTTTAGGGTAAGGGCGTAGTGAATAGTGGGTCGAATCGAAGAGCGCAGTGCCACCGCCAGCCTCCCCACTTCGGTTGAAGCGTTTAAAAAGAAAGGTGTCGGAAAAAGGCCAGAAAGGGGGCCGAAATTCCACTCAGGCTGAGCGCATCTCCCGGAAGGAACACTGTCGATTCGCTGTTCAGACACCTTTCTCTTCTTCCACCGTCCTCCACACTGTCAAGAGAACCGATTCTCTGTTTTCCCTTACACTGCCCTGAATGACGCGGCGCTGTTCGATTTGAACTAGCATTCGCACATTCCCACTTCAAGTTAGGAATCATTGCGGTTCCGATAACCGTTCGACCGAAAAACGCCACTTTCGCTATGCCTCGTTTGTGGGTTTCCCCTTTGGGGGGTACCACGTAAAAAAACGGGGTGGGGAGGGGGGGGGGCGTTTTTTTCAAATACGACGGTGTGACTGCGACCTTTATGCCCGTGTCCCACTAGAGCGACAGACAGAAACAAAAGACAACGACCAGCCTCAAGCCCATGCAGCATGCTCGCGATGGTACATTTGGCAGGCGTTTAGTCGTTCGGTGCTCGTAAAGTAAAGGTTCGTTCACACTCTTGCAACCGAGTACGACCGAGAGAGACAAGACCGGTTTTTAATCCCCTTACAACTTCTTAGAACCGGGCGCGCTGCTGCGGAGCTGGTCCTAAGAGATCGCAAGAGGCTTAAAAACCGGTCTCGTCTCTCTCGGTCGTACTCGGTTGCAAGAGTGTGAACGAGCCTTAAGCACGAGCGATTGCAAGTCTGCCAAAGATACCCTCGCGTGCATGATGCTCGTGTTTGAGCATAGCCTCCTTTATCCTACAAAGCCCCCAAATCGCGAAAGACTCTGGTTTGAGGCTTGTCGCTGTCGTTTGTTTCTGTCGGTCGCTCTAGTGGGACATGGGCATTAACGTTTCACGTTAAAAGTCGCAGTCGCACCGTCCTATTTGAGATTCGCAGTCCCAAATGCTATAAAAACGTTAAATTAAAATATGAGAGGCGTTTACAAATCTCTGTAAAGCGAAATTAGAGCGCAGCTCTTGAGGAGGAGGGGGGGGGGGGTATGCCCCTCCTCCAACTCCTCCCGTCCTCCTCCTCCTCCAGCTAAATTTAGCTGAAAAATTGACGCCACGTGACCTGAAACACCAATTCAATTTCCCCGCTAAATTTAGCGGGGAAAAGGTCGTCACATGACTTTGTGCCACGTCACCTATGAACAAATTCAGTTTCTCCGCTAGATTTAGCGGGAAAATTGACGTCACGTGACCTCAACACCAATTCGATTCCCCGCTAAATTTATGGGGAATTGAATTGGTGTTGAGGTCACGTGACGTCAATCTTCCCGCTAAATTTAGCGCGGTTACGCCGACGCCGCGAAACACGGAACCGGGCGCCTAAGAGCTGCGCTCTAAAAAAAAAAAAAAATGTAAACGAGCCGGTATAGAATTCCATCTTCCTTGCCCTTATTACATATACGGCGTGCCGCGTGTCTGGCTTCAAGGGCGGATGTTGACCGCACATGCGTAATACGAGTCACGTGTTCCTCGTGGCGTCCCACCTCCCCTTTCGCTTCGTAATGACTCCGAAAACCAGATCACGAGACGGAATTGAAGAGCTGCAGCCTGTGGGAAACCGCGCCGCGCAGAACAAGACTTTCTACGCGCTCCAAGGCTGTTCAAACAATCGCGGGAAGGGCATTAATTCTGCAAAATCGCTCCTCTCAAGGCCAGGCTCCCCTGAAGTCGGCGGCACGCAGTTCAAAGAAAGAAAACTCGATTCTCAGTAGCGCCAGCTATACAACTGAAGCCAGCGGCGCGATAAATTGCCGCCGCAACACAGCTCACCCCGCACGGCGCTGCTTCTTGCAACGTCAAGGACTCGCGATGATTCTTTTAACCTGAGTGAAACACCGAAAAAACAAGAACGTCTCCTAACGTATGCAAAAAAAAAAAAAAAAAGAAAAAGGGAAGGCTCGTTTTTATGAGTTACGACTTCTTGTTTAGAAAGGCTTTTTCGTGAATCTCGAAACTTGTCGAACCCAATATCCCCGCATTTAGAGAACTCCATCGCTGTTTCGAGATGGACTAATGCGAAAAGAAGGCTAAAGGGCCCGTTTGTAAGTCCGCTGCGGACTAGGCGACGGTGTTGCCATTGCGTGCAGTGTTATCGCTCCCTTGGCACCCATACCGGGGCACCTGTGGGACGAGTCACTGAAAACGTATAACTCGGGGCTTGGCGAGACCTAAGCGTCTTATCACTCCACGGCCAACGAGATTGCGGCATGAGCCGATGAGAAGGCCGGGGAACGAACCACGAAGGAGCACAAAGGCGGAAGCGTGACAAGCCACGCCCTGCATTTCTTCAACTGTGAATGATCATAGTGCAACTCGCACAAAGTCGAGCCTCTCTGTCACCGGGACACATCCGGATGTCACAAAAGACTCGCCGAGCACCGGCGTAGAGCCCGTTGTGTACGTTAGAATTCACCTGTAACTTGGGGAACCTCTAACAGTGGGACAGCCCAGGCAAGCGTCCCAGTCAGGAAGATTCCAGCTTTAGAGCGCAGCTCTTAGGCGCCCGTTCCCGCTTATAGCGGCGTCGGCGTAACCGCTGTATGCATGCGGGGGCGGGCGCCTAAGAGTCCCATAATGCAACGCTGCGCGCGTTGGATTATGGGACGTCACAGACCTATACACCAATTCAACTTCCCCGCTAAATTTAGGGGAGAAACTGAATTGGTGTGTAGGTCTGTGATGTCCGATAATGCAACGCGCGCAGTGTTGCATTCTGGGACTCTCCTCCTCGTCTCTCGCTTACCTTCTCGGCGCCCTCAAACAAGTTCCCCGCTAAATCTAGAGGGAAAATCGACGTCACGTGACCTTAACACCAATTCAGTTTCCCCGCTGAATTTAGCGGGGAAAATTACGTCCCATGACTTTGTGTCACGTGACTTATAGAGAACTTGAGTATCCCCGCTAGATTGCGCGGGAAAATTCACATCACGTGACCTCAACACCAATTCAGTTTCGCCGCTAAATTTAGCGGGGAAAATTATGTCACATGATTATGTCACGTGACCTATAGACAACTACAGTTTCCTCGCTAAATTTAGCGAGAAAATTGACGTGACATGGACCTCAACACAAATTCAGTTTGCCCGTTAAGTTTAATGGGAAGCGGCGTCGCCGACGGCGTAACCGCCGCCCTCGTGCAAAGCCCGTACCGTCCCTGCTCCTCCTCTTACATATAAGTAAATTTCTCTCTCAGATTCTTTACCACGGTATTTCGCAAAATCAAAATACCTCGAGATCTGGGCTCTAATTTCGCATTATGGCTAGGGTGACCATATTTTTTAAGGTACAAAACGGGACATCTCAGCGGGAGCGGAGGGGGGGGGGGGGGGGGGGGGGGAACTACTAAGGATTGAGAGTGGGAGAAAACATTTTCCTGAAAGGATTGCTGTTATTTCAAACCGTCACCAAATTGCACTAAGCCCTAGGCGCAGTCACACTCACAGTTTAGTTGCATGCAGTCATTTGGAAGGTCTTGCTTAGGGTCCTTCGTTGGTGTGTGGGCGTATTTTACCGACGACTGAAATTTCCTAAGCGGGACTCTACCCCGCAAGACTCGGTTGTCAAAGCCTGCGCACTTATATGGGGAAAAAAAGAAGCATGTTTCGAAAACGGGACATGATTCTTCATTGGGACAAAAATACGGGACGGCAAAAGCGGCCCTCAAAAACGGGACTGTCCTGGCCAAAACGGCTGGTCACCGTAATTACAAAAAAAAAAAAAAAAAAAAAAAAAAAAAACGAGCGTTTTTTTGTTTTGTTTTGTTTTTAACTAGGGAAATAAATTGTAATCTGGACTAGCTGAGACATTGACCTGAGCGGTCCTCGCTGTCCCGGTGCAGCTAACCTGCTCGGAGCAAAAAAAAAAAAAAATCTTGCTGCGTGCAATTTCACTCCTATACGGGTTCTAATGACGGAAGTGCTTCGCAGGCGGACATTTTCGTTCCGGTGCACCGGTGGAGAACAAAGCGGAGTCTGACCTTCCCACTTGCGCATCATGTGTATGTTGTCCGGGTCTCTGGTGAAGCTGAAGGCGTATCCGCTGTACGTGGTCCCGAAGTCGATGGCCACCACGACGAAGTGCGAGCCGGTCCCGGAACCCGGGCGGCTGGCCACGCCACTGTCGGCCGTCTCACTGCGGCCCAGCTGGCTTTCGTCCACTGCGTTCCAAAGGCGGACACCAACCACGCTTCGCATCGAGCCCAAAATATCCACGAACACGCTATAAGTATATACCGTTTCAACTTTAAGTCCAACTGCAGCCGACGATCTGATGTAGCCGACCAAGCAGCTTCGAAAGTGCAACGTCGTATTTGTGCGTTTACTGTCGAAACCCATCACGCACAATAAGTGCGTCGTGGTCCTGCGCTTTCATTTTTTTTTTTTTTTTCTTTGCGTAATTAATTTTCGAATCGGGGAAAAAAAAACTGTTAAGTTAATATGAAAGTGTAACTCAGAAAGGCCTACTTCGGAGCGCTGCGCAGTCCGCACTCGACGCATTGATGTCTGGAAGAAAAGAATATACCGTCGTACCTCAAAATGGCGTCCGTTCAAGAGAGAAAGCAGCGTGCATACTTTGGTATGTTCGAGACGAGTTCGTCGTCGAAACGCAACGTCCTTACAGAACTCAGTATGGAATAGGTCAACCTTCAGGTAACGCTATACGACTTCGGTATAGAGTAGTGTTTAGAGACTGGCGTTTTTCTGCGCCGAAAAGAAGCCGGACGACCGACAGCTCCGCCGGAAGATGTTAATCGAATCCAGGAGGCGTTTTCTCCAAACCCACAAAAATCAACTACACAAGCACCTTACTCGTTAGTAATAAAGCTTATTGAGTAACACTCGCGTACTTCGTGAGCAGTTCTATTCTATTACGAAGACAATAATTTAGCTTCAGTCTGCATTTTTTAAGACTTTTGCCTGCCTCGAGTTTTCCGTGGCAACCTCCAGTCTCAGGTAGCAAGCTGAAGACTGCTAAGGGCTCGCGTGTGGAGGGCATAAACGATCGGAGCAAATCGCGCCTGCACGTAGCTCAGTGGAAAAATTCTTTCCTGCAGATCGTCGCTTCTCTGAAAGCTTTCATTTCCTGCGGCATTTAAATTTTACTCAGAATAAAAGAGAATCCTCAAAATTTTCAGACGCACTTTCGCGAACCGCAACACCGTGACCTGCTAGGGTGTGGAACTTCCACGGAGTGCAGCTGTGAACGACGATCTGCGTCAAGATTAAAAATAAATGAACGCGTTTTTTTTTTCTTTTTTTTTTTTAGGGAAAGGCGACGCGCGTAGAGTGCAAATATGTTTGCAGTTGTTACAACTGTTCAAATATCCGCTTCCATTTTATATTAGTAAGATGACACCTCACCGAACGTTCCGTGACTTTCACAGAGATTCGTTTTCGTGTTGCACAAAATTATAATCTGAGTTCTTTTCCAACGATACTATCGGGGCTTCTATCGTAAGGAACATTTGCGCACACAGACTCCATCTGACAAAATATAAAAAAGCCTAGAGAACGCACGGGTTTATCAAAGAGCCAAACGATCCGTTTTACCGAGGCTACGCCCAAAAGAGTACGTACCTGGCATGACGCAGATGTCTCCAGTCTCGGACAGCGCCTTACCCGGGTGTGCTGGCTTGCCGTTTGCGTGTATCTCCGCTTCCACGTCTAGCCCATTGTCCTTGCCATTCAGGCAATTACATCGTTCCGTGACGCCGTTGCCATTCTGATGGAGAACACCGGCGCGCGTGCCGGGGCCCTCCCCCGCGGTGAGGGCCTGGTAGGTCTTTTTGTTGGAACCAGGGAAGCAGACTTCTTCGATCAGGTTGTCCTGTTGGGACTCGCTATCCGTCGCCTGGACGGTCCCGTTCTGAGGCACCGGCGCGCTGCTGACGCTCGTGACCACGGGGGCAGGCATCCGTTTGGGAAAGACGGGGGGCGGCGGTCCGTCCACGAAGACCTCTTCCTCGTCGCCGATGGACATGTCCAGCTGACGAATGACTCGCATGGCGTCCAGGTGCAACGCCTCCTCCTCATCGTCCTTCTCGGAGGGGCGTCCCTGGGCGGGCGCAGCTGGGGGCTGCACGCTGGTTTGACTAGACATCTTCTTCAGCATCTCCTGCACGATCGAGGTCCTGCTCAGGCTGGAGAGTGACGTTCGTCTCGGCGAGTCCGTGGTCGCCAGACGGAAGGACACCTGAGGGTTGCCAACTTGCTGCTGGGGCAGCGGGGGCTTGGCTGCCGTCTGTGTACTGGTGTTGATCTTGGGCGGCTCGGGTGCCTGCCGCTCGGATGCCAGCATTGTCTGGCAGAAGTCCTGGAAGTTGTCGCTGAGGACCTGCCTCGACACGCGGACGTTGGGGTTGATGCAGTGCGTGATGGCCTCCCGCGAGCGGCAGTTTTCCGGCAGTCGGGGCTGCCGATCGCTGAACCTCCACAGCGGCGTTCTGTCGCAGCAGGGGACGGCCCTGTCACGGAAGCAGCAACTGTGGCTGTGGTCAAGGAAGCTGCGGGTCCGGTAGTCGACGGCTGAAAGCCGGGGTCTTCGAAACTCCTCAACGCTGTACGTCGAGACGCTATGCCCCAGCGGCGAGCCGCACTTGTTCTTGACGCCAGACTCGGAAAGGTCCTCCTGGTAGGTGACCGTGGTCCTGCCGTGGAAGGTGGCCTTCCTCTGGCATTTCGGCGTAGTGAGCACCCCAAACACGGTGCCCTCGGCGCATTCTTGGCGGAGCACGGCTTGCGTTGTCTGCAGCGGCGGGTGGAACCTCCCCGAATGGCAGGACTGTGGGTCTGGAAAAGAAGACGCGTGTTGTCGATGACCCACATCGAGCGAACGCTTTCAATGCGCGGATGTGTGCGCCCCCAACACGCGCGCCTGCACGCTGTTGGCTTTTTGTTCTGGGGCAGCAAATGTTGATCGTTCAGGTCGTAAGCGTCCGAGCAATGCGGCGTCCAACACGATCGACGTGCAGCCTATTCCACGTAGGCTGCGTGCAAGGCGCTTCGAACGATTGAGTTTGCTAAACGCGTACCCTGAGCAGCGGAGCGACGGACGCGCTCTGCGCCCGGTTGCTCGGACACAAGACAATGAAACGAAACGATCTCCTCGCACGTTTTAAGAACGTGCACAGCAGCTCCTCAAACAGAGCTCGCAGCGTCGCGCGGGAAATTTTACGCTTATTTCCTTTATGCAACAACCACAATCCGCTAAATGCAAGTGGCAAAAGGAAAACGTCAAGCACACGTTGGATGAGGCCCACGACCGTGCAGGAGCCCGTAACGATTTCACGTTCGGAGTGCAGCTTCCTTTTGGTTTCATCTGACAGCCACTATATTTTTTTTTTTTTCAAACGAGCTTAACAGGTTGCGGGGTATTTCCTCTTTGATTCAAACATAACCCCCTTTGCTCCAAATTGCCGAGCAGTCAAAGCACTCGTCCCACGAGGCGCTCGTGACTCGAGAGATGTGGCGCCGATACCGGCCGCTCGCTGCACAAGCGGTGAGGTTTTGTGGAGTGCCACTTCCAACGAACGCGTTAATCACGAGTTTCCCGTCCGAATATTGCGGCTTCATCTCGAGTAGGAACACGTCCCTCGTCCGCATCCGCCGCCACGACCGTGCCCCGATCGCGCTGATGCGCGCCGCGAGCTGCAATTGGGAAGACACGGCGGACCGCGCCCCGTCCAGTCCGGCGGGCCGAAGACGCAGCGCTTGGAAATGGAAAACGTACACAAAGAAAAAACTGGCCGCAGCGACCAGGCACAAGAAAGCGGCGTAGGTGAGCCAAAGCATGCACGCGCGCTCGCTCCCAACACGCGTAACAAGCGCTGCAAGGGCGGCCCACTTGAGCTTAACTACAAGGCACGGCCTGCGCGTCTTGCACGGAGAGGTGCCTGACCTGCATCAAAGGCGAGACAACGGCAGCGGCCACAGCTCGGGCGAGGGAAATAAAAGAGGGCAAAGAAAGGGGCTTCGTTGTTGTTCTCGGCGAGCGGCCGGCCGAGCGACCCACTTCGTGTCGTCGTCCAGGGATAGAAAGGCACGCGCGGTTTTCGGCGAACAGCCCCTCGTGCGCGCGAATACGTAACTGCCTCGGAATGAGTCGATGGCTGCCAAATTATGGACCCGGTGGGGGCAATTGGGGAAGGGAAAAGACGCCACAGTCCTCGACAAATCCTCGGATTGCTTCGGGGGAGAGCCGTGTTTTCGAAAAAAGCTCCGAACAGAGAAACGGCGCGCGCGAGCCTTCTCCGTCACAGCTGTTTCCCGCCTCAAAAAGCGGCATCTGAAGTGCGGGTCAGGGCTCGTTTTCTCGTTAAAAAAGCCAACCGCACAAAAAACGAAAAAAAAAAAAGAAACCTTTTTTTCTCCTTTGCATTTTTACTCTTTTTTTTTTTTTTTGCTTTATTTTTTGCCATTACTTTCATGAGAGGTCGGTAATCCATCTTGTTCAGTCTCGTTCGTTCGAACGGCCGAACCTTTAATTCGCCAACAAAACTAAACTACCAGCTTTTTTTTTTTTTTTTTTTTTTTTTTTTTTTTAAAGAGGATAGGTACAAAACGTCGACGAACGCGATAAGGATTCGAAGCCCTTTTGTTCCATAGCTCCGCTCGTAAATGCGAGAACGGTTACTCTAAATCTGACTGCGGGGGGAAAACAAAAACGTTTCCTCGTGGCACTTATCAAAATGGGTAACCAGACCACTCGGTGAGATTGCGCAGCTATAACATCATTTATATTGTGTCCGGCTCTAATCAAGAATTTAATTTCTCGAAGACAGGTTTTTAAAGAACGCGGCATATTTTCTTCTGCATTATACGCGCGCTCCACGGTTGATAGTCAGCTTGCATAGCCTGTAAAGACAATTCCAAAAATTGTCTCTTGTGAGGACGAATGCCGTTCTTGTGCCCTGGCAATTCCAAGCACCCGCCCTCTTTGGCGAAATATTGTACGTCGCGTGTACGTCTATACTCCAGTCAGTGGCGTCACTAGGGTCAGCGGCACCGGGGGCGGTGGCCCGCTGCGACACCCCCCCCCCCCCCCCGGCTCGTCGCCCGCCTCGATCCCCCCCCCCCTCCCCCGCACCAGCCCGTCGCGACACCCCCCGGAGCGCTGCACCCGGGGCGGTCCGCCCCCCCCCCCCCCGCACCCCCCTTGTGCGGGGGGGTGCGGGGGGGGGGGGGGGGGGGGGGCCTCGCCGGGGTGATAAGCCAACATCTCTGTATAAGCATTTGAGATATCTATATAATAAACCCTCGATTAATAAAGAAACGTCAAGGTGCAGCAACGTGGGATTATACGAGACACGAAATCAACAAGTGACAAGCTTTAATGTAACACCTACCTGTTCCCGCTTTTTTTTCTTTTTACAATATATATATGTATATATATTTAGTTACTGATTCTTTATTCACGTGGAATCGAGGTGAATAGTATAGAGAACTGAATAAACAAGCTCGAAATTAACAATTGGTTCCACCGATTCTTGTGCCGGTGGAAATTTACCTAAAGCTGCGAAGTCCAAATTAAACTCAAACTTGAATTCAAGAAAAAGTACCGAGCTGCGATCGAGGGCGACAACACTATATAGGGAACGCCAAAGCGAGCCCAGTTCAGCATGCGGCGGAGAAATTCCAAAGAATCTTTCTAGGAGGCGTACTCTTTAAATGGACCGTTCACAATGCGCCGCCGAAGAAAAAAGCCAATGTGCGGACGTGCATCCGTAAGGTGTGGAGCAACGTTGTCAGAAACGCGGTCTATGGCCGTTTCAAGATTATAGCATAGTTATTAGGTTTTCTATAGCCCCTTCATCGCCTGGTATTGAACAGATAAACAAATTCAGTAGATACCCCACCATCCCTACCGTCTCGATTGGAACGCGCACTGTGTGTGAATCAATGGACCCGCCCGGTCTACGTTCACCACAGAGCATGTTGATCCCTGAAGCGAATGACGAGCTAGCGACGAAGGTTTCTCGCACGAACGTGATCTGCACCGCGACACTCAACGTCTCCCATGCCCAGACACCGCGGCACAGTTCTCCGTATTTGGGGAAGAATGACGTAATACGTGCAGGTGACACCCTGAGCAAAGGCGGTGCAGAGGGCAGGCAGGGGCCCCCGCAACAACAGCCGATGCGGCCCAAAGCTGCAGGTTCACTGCGGTCAAGCGCTCTTTTGTGTGACCCTTTTGTTCTGCCTTTATGTTGCTTGTCTTCCGTGCGTGCAAGCGAGTTTCAGGGAGTACGACCTCTAAGGGTGTGTGACTAACGTGGCGAACCTGTTTCTTGTCGGTCTTAATTGACCGCAACGCTGCGCGTATAGGTACGAGGTTGCGTCTGCAAAAAACTTGCGCCGAAAAAAAAAAAATGCGCCGTGACACAACGCGTTTTAGGATTAGAAGATGGCGAAGCTAAAGAGGTTCCACGTTGTTTCGCAACCGCGTATGTCACGGAAAAAGTGTGACAAACATTTGTAACACTTGTTCAACCGGTCGCTTAGTGTTTCAGATAACATTTGCGAACTATAGCAGTGAAGTGATTGTCACCAGCCGGCGCTGTTAAACGTTGGATTTTTTTTAAAAGTTTATACCTTCTAAAAAAAAAAAAAAAAAGATTGGTCGTAAAAGAACTCATGTGTTCTTTGGCTTGTCCATATTTTGCAGCCTAAAAAGTTCTTTTAAGCACCCCTAACAGGGTTCTTCGTGAAAAACCTACAAGGGTTCTTTTAAGCTCCTTTTTCGACGCGAAAGAGTTCATCGCCCAGTTGTCTTTCTAGTGCGCCAGGGGCGATAGTATTTGAAGCGAAACCGTTCTTCACGAGCTGAAAGTGTTTTTGGGGCGTTAAAACACCTTTTAAGAGCAATTTTTTTAGTGTAGGTTTATTACAGCCAAAACAATGCCCACCGTGGCCTCGACAAAATGAGACAGTTCGCAAAAATTCCAATCACGTTAAGTAAAAATGCAAAATGAAGAACATTCGGTCTCAAAGTATCCCCTGAAGAGCTATACATCCTATGAATCTCACTCTCGTTTTGTCAATTCGACCGAACACCGTGACCTGGCAATTGCTCCTGGGGGTATCTAGGCCATGTATCATCTCAGATGATACTGTCTCCGAAGCTGTTGTGAAATTTAGCAAAGCCGTCAAACATAAACAACTTTTCTGTAGGAGCGGAGAAATGAGGCATTGAATAAGCCTAGAATAATCCAGAACAGACTGAATAGCACAAAGCAGTTCAACGGGGAAAGAGTTAACTCGTTAAGTGACATAATTTTCTTGCACGATATTGATAGAAAGTTTTGTAAACTGGTCCGGCTGCCGATTCTCGAGGATATCATTACCGCAAGATTTCGGTATAACTGTTGATCTCAGCTTCTGAAGTCTACATTTGCTAAAAATAACCTATTGCCGCGTTACCGAGGGGCCCTCATCCGGAGCCGAGAGATACAACTGCCGTCAGAACCTACCTACTCGTATATTCCACAACTTCAAAAAAGAAAGGTTAAAAAAAACCTGCTCGAAAAAAAAAAAAAAAAAAAAATACGCGGAATTTCGCACAAGGTGAAACGTACTCAAGAGATAATATACCTGATGATAAGTTGGGCCACCTACGAAGGTCCCAGAGGAGCTGCGTGAGATTATTAATTACCCCATCACTCCAGGTGATCCAACGAGCAATCAAGCAGCTACTGAGTAACAAGGCTCCCGGACTAGATGGCAGAGGAACCGACTTCCACAGCACTTTTTTCAACTCATTTTGCCCTAACCTTGCATCGCTCGAGGATGTG